ATCAACAAGAAGAATATCATCAGCAAAAAGCATACACCAAGGTACATCCTCTTGCAAATGTCTAGACGATAGTACAGAAAATCACCTGGAGCAAAACTGGGCACATTCTGGACCAAAATTTCCACTGATCGTCCCAGGACGATCCAGATCGTCCTGGATGATCCTGTAGCAGATTTTGATATTACAAATACGCTCATTCATGGCGTTAAATCCTTGAGATATGAATCAATAGGATATGATCGATATGGCACAAAGCCTCCCTTTGTTAGCTAAGGTGGATTCAAATTTGTCCCCTTAGACAAACATTCAACTCCGGTCTATAAGGTCCCCTTGGACGAAGCAACCCATGGCTGCCGACAAGGATTCTTCTGTCAGGTTGGGTCGACTACCTCCTCTGACTAAGTAGACCAGGGACCACGATGGCCCGGGACGACGGAACCATGGGATCTTGAACGGGCCTATCATCCGTTCCCCCACCATCCGCTTTAAGTGTAAGATGGTGAAATTTCATGCTATATGCCAGATAACACGTATATTCTATTTATCTGATTGACGACTAGTCTTAATCGAAAGTTCTCTCTCATGATCGGGAGGGGTAATTAACTATAGGGGCTTGCGCCTATAGGAACCCAAAACTCAGATCATAAAGTCCTCACCAAATGAGGGCGAAACCTCTGGGTAGTGTCTTATCTACAAACCCATCTGCCTTCCAAAATTTACCTCTGAACATATTCAGTTAAAACTCCCTCGCCGAACAAAAAGAAAAAGCACAGCGAGCGGAGGCCGAGGCCGAATTTTCGTAGCCCACACCGGCTCGGGCGAACCAGCTCGGGCGAGCCGGCTCAAGCTCGAGCTCGAGCTCGATAAGCTCGGCTCGCGAGCTCATAAACGAGTCCAGCTTGAGCCGGCTCGGCTCACTTACACCCCCCTAATGTTGTTATTTGAAATAAATATTATAAGATAATATGAACAATCGAAAACTAGATCTTGATATTTTTCTGATATGGCTCAACACAATATGACCTATCCTGATTGAGTTGGGGTATGATAAAATCCACCTTAGCTGACATATGGCTTTGTACCCTATCAGTTATAGCCTATTGATTCATCACTCAATGATTTAGCACTGTTGGGAAACATATGAGCTTTGAGCATTAGTGTAATTTAAAGGTGCAATTTGGCAGAACCACCTAATGATAAAAGTTTACTTGTGATGTCATTTAGCGATGAAACCACTAGTTAGAGAACATGTATCACATCCTTACTAATAAAAAATAATTTGAGAATGAATCATAATGATATTCTCGACCAGACATTTACTCTTTATGAGTTGTAGTAACTTTCAGATTTATCCACCTCGACAAAATATTATGGAAGGTGGATGAGTATTTTATTTTAAGTATTATGGTTATTTATTTTAATTTTAAATATTTTTTATTTTTATAATTTTGTAAAATTTAGTTTTCATGAGAATTTGGGAGCCATGCTAAAATATTTGAAGTCCCATTCGGTTGATATTTTCTATCAACACTGCTATCATCAGGTTATACTTATGGGCAATTCATTTTGTTGGTTGAACATTGTAGACTATGTCTACTCGTCGACATAGGATCAGACTCACCGTTGGCTTTATGCTTTTATTAGTGAATTTTCTTTGTTATAGATCTTAATTGAAGGCTTAATATGAATGTATAAAATAAATATCCCGGTCGATGTCGCGACCGTATATTTCTTTGATGGTTTGAACAATGTTAACTCTTATCTATCCACATAGAAGGATCGGTCTTGGATTGAAGTTCATTTCTTGACCCGTGCAGTATTCTCAAACATCACGTGTATGCACACATCGCGCTTGTCAGGGCCCATGCTGGTAATCATATTTTAATGCATGAAAGGGGCATTTAAATATATAAATATAATTATTTGTGCTAAGTGATCGTCATTTAAAGTTTGCACAAAGTTTCATTTGAAGCTTGAGAAACGTCTTCTGTCGCATGTACGAGTGTTGCATATCCGGTGGCATTATTCAGTAGTGCATTGGACTTCATCTGTCATGCACTGGCAATGTGGTTCATTTATTTTCTTCTCCCGTATGTTCTCATTTTTCTTCAACATTCAAATCACATGAATGTACTTTTGATGGCAAATACATTGTACAATGCACTAGGAGTCTTTCACCCATCACTTGCAAGTGAACCAATTTATCTAATATGACAGTTTGGCGTTGCAAATTTACTACCTCATTTCATGAGTGGCCCATAATTTTTACTACTATTTCCCTACTTTTTCTTACAAGTGAATCATAGCGTTACACTATTAGTCACTCGCAGTTTCTTGAAAGCAACCTATCATTCAATGATGAATCTCCCGTAGTGGTTCGCAGATGCTTGCATTTATCACGTCTCTTTTGTATTTACTTATGGATAGCATATCGTGTACATGACGAGTCTCCTACAACGACTCACAAGTGTCTATATTTGCTGAAGTTCTTATGTATTTTCTCACATATAGTATGTTAGTACACACGAAGAGTCTTCTATAGCGACTCGCTGGTACTTGCATTCATTGCATATTATCTTCATTTGCTTACAAGGAATCAATGTATTTGTTGAAAGCTTAATTGCCATTAACTTTATGAAAGCCCTGGCATTTGTCACACGCTACTTGTGTATGTTTGCAATGAATATCACCATTTGCAGGCACATTTATTTAACATTTGCTTTTTTTATTTGGTTGCACATTTTAGAGTTTAAGGTTCAGTTCTCTGCTATTCAGTTCAAATTTGATTCCTACATTTGTTCAAGTTTGATCCATTGTTATTTATTTAAGTTATGTGCATTTCAGTCTTAATTTTGACAGTCTCTCAACGTCTCCCTTGTTTAGGAGAAATTTGGAGAGCTGGATCTTCCCATTAATTATACTAGACAAGCATATATAGTAGTAGGTGCTGAGCAACACCATGGCCGTGGTCTTCAATCCCATAATGCTAAGAAAAGTGTGTATGGGTCTTCGGGGTACATGTTTGAAATGCATATTTTTTCTCCTAGAAATAAAAGCATGTGCACAGGTACTCAAAATTGTCCCTATCATGCTAAGAAAAGTATGTATAGGGCCTACCCGCCTCGGTGCAAGCACTGCACCGGGTTTCCTCCCACCTCCCTAAGGAAAGACTGTATATGTGATTTCGTAGCGACGAGATTTTGGAGATTTTTGAGTTTGAAAATCATTTTACCTTCGTGACAAGCGACAACTTTGGTGGTGTCGGAGCAATGACGATGGTGATGATCACGAAACAAAAAAAATTCTTCTCTTTTACTTCTTTTTTAACTATCTTTTTCCTTTTTTTTAAATCTCTTTTTCCTTTTTTTTTAATCATTTTTATCTTTCTTTTTTAAATAATAATAATATTACTAAATATTATTAATAATAATTATTGATAAAAATAATTAACAACAATAATAGTAGAGGGAAGAAGGATCAGAGAGGGATTGGGTTCAGCTATAATTTTGGGCAAATTATTTTGTGCGGACTCCGGATGTCATCCGGAGACCAATAAAAATGCTCCACATCATCACAAAAATGTACCGCGCTCGGTACCGACGAGTGTAACCGGACAGTTCTCTCATCCAGTGTCCACACAGAATAATCTCTCGTAGCTATGAGGGGAGAGATACAGGTTTCTGGAACACAGAGTACGAGGTGGGTTGGTTGATTGAGGGGCTCGGGTAGAGTAGAGAAGAGGAGATTATGGTCGGCTGAGAGGGCTATTTTTGGCTAAAACCGAACCTTCCTCTACATCCAGTGAAAGGACCTAATAATTGCTCCGTGAGCTGGGGGTTTGCGGCTTGTTGTGATTCGCACGATATGGAGGAGACGGGCAAGGGGACTTCGGCCAGGTAGTGTATGTAGCTTCAGTTCTTAATTGAACAAATGTAACATATAAGAATATTCTTAATTGAGGATGATTCTTCAAGTTCTTCATTCAGCATAAAGAGGGTCTGATCTAAGCAACGATCATGATTATAGGACATAGGCTTAAATAGTAGGCAAAAACCTTAGGTTATAAATCCTTTTTAAAGTTATCAGTAGACTCATAGCTAAGAATATGAGCAGTTTATAAAATATTTTATTAAGTCTTTTAGTATGTTAAAATGTTTTTTGGAGAGCCTAAAGTAAGTGTTTAGAAAGATAATAAAATAAAAAAAAAAAAAACACATCATAACAAGGTAATAAAAAAATAATAAATATATAGATAGTCCTGAAAGAATAGTAATAGAGAAGATATAAGATGGAGGGAATAGAATGCATTAAATATCACAAAATCTCACCTTTTTAATATCCATCATAAGCTAAGACGGCTTAGCCTACCAACATATATACAAAATATAAGATAATAATTCTAATTATTATATTTAATACATTGTTAATGTATTAAACCCTTAATACTAACATATATAAGATAATAATTCTAAGACATACTTATCATGTTTTTCCTACGTAAGAGTTATGAATTTCATATGCTATTTTCTTATGATTTATAATTCTACTTACTATTTAGGATTTGTTTGGGACGGCTTTCTTATTGCTTCTTAAAGTAGTTTTTTAGTGTGAAAATTAAAATTTTTATACTAGAAAACAGCTTTAAGAAGCAGTAAGAAAGCCGTCCCAAACAAAGCCTTTGTGTTTAGCTCTGAGTATTTTTTTTCTTAATTACATTTACTAGTATTTTGTTATTATGGCTTATAATTATTGATATTTAGTTAGTGTTTTTTTTTTCATAAAAGTTTTGTAATGTTTAAGTTGGCTGGTGAGGTGCATTCATGCATGTTTCAAATCTATTATTTTGTTATTTTCTACACATATTTCAGTTTGCCTCAAATCTGCATATTTATTATAATATATTTACTATGATCTATGACTCTATGGGATAAAAATTCATTTAGCTAACTTTTTCATTGATTAAAGCAAATAACTTGCTTGTTTATTAGTGTATTGGTGATCTAATTATAATGTGTTTAATTGTGGTATAGATTTTATTTATGTTCAAAGATTAAGATTGTTAGTAACATCTCATGTGATATTTGCTTTTATTTTTATTTCATTCCCATGCCATTGTTGGAGAATTCTAAAATTCAATCAATATCAACTGGTGAACCAAAAGTAGTGGTTATACAAAATAGGGATAATAGTTCTCAAACTACCTCTTAGCCTATTGATCAATATGTTATTGAAACTAGCATTATTGACATATAGCCTAGGAAAAGCAGGAAGATAAAATCTGCTTTGTGGGGATACTTTATAGAAGTTAAATCCATTTGTAAGGGAATGAAGTTCTTTTTATGATGTATTTGATGTGGCAAAACAGCCACAGTAAGAAATATTCGACAAGATGCTTCATATATAAATCAAAATTATATTCTGCTTAGTTGTTGAAAATGCATAATAAATATCACCATGGATGATGAGCAGCCTTTGATTTGCTCAGCAGACAAAATAGTTCTAAAATCTTAGAGCAAAAATGTAGTGCTAAGTAACAGATTCATTATATACTCAATACAGAAACTGCAAACATAAAATAGCTCTCAGTTTTACAAAACATCTTTAGAACAATAGAAGCTCACATAGCCAATGTTTCTTAGCTTGCCAGGAAATAGTTTTCATAGAAGAAATATGAAGAGATGCATATAATGGAAATAGAATGGGACTCTAAGCTTCATGTTCAGCACTCTTCACAACTGTTACCGGGCAGGTGCCATTATTTACAACAAAGTTACTCACACTGCCCATGAAAACCCTGCAAAAGAATAACAAAAGATGTTCAGTATAGAATATTAAATCAGAAAACTATTTGAAGCCCCCAACTTAGGAGTTTCTTTTAACACTTTGAACCATTTTTTTGCAATTGCATCACAATAAAACAATCTGATAAGTCCTAGATGATTTTGTTACGTCGCCTATACTATAATAAATCCCATCCTGTGGATTTTTTGAATGGCAAAAAAATTATACATTTTCAAATTAAACAGCCACTTATTTACACTGCATTATTTTTTCCTCCAACCAAACACTAATATTTTCAAAACTCCTATAAAATGAATACTTAATATTCACTTCAAATTAAACAGCCACTTATTAACTAAGAGTATCTTAGAGGTACAAAAGATGACTTATAATTCTCAAGCGGAAACAATATTGTGATATTCAAGACAATGAATTATTTGTGTCAAATGTTGGGTTATGGAATTGGCCTCCTTTTCAAGATACATATCCACCATCAAGTGTTTGCCTGAAATTCAATAGTTTGAATGGTGCTCAGGCAATCTATGGCCCACCATTCGGTTCTTCAAGTGAGCACCTAGAATCAGAAAGTCTAGGGCACCTGAGGAATATCATTGAGTCCAGGGAGGACAACTCAATGAAAATTGGTGATGAAAAATCATATTGGCAATCTTTTCTCGTGTGACAATCTGATGGGAATGTTGAAGAAATAAGAGAATGTTGAAAAACCAAGTCCCCTTTATACAAAGAGCTTGGCCTTGATGTGATGAGAGAGTTAGGTTGCATTACAATTGAGTTGCTTTAAGCAAGTAAAGGAGGCTAGTAGAGTGAGATTCCTTGTAGCATAGAGGAAGGAGAGTGGCTTAGCCTTAGAGTGGAGGGGGGAGGGGGGGTTGATAGGCACTAGAAAGAAGTCAAAGAGAGAGCCAGCTTGCTTTCAAATCATTGTAATATTTATGAGTGTGATTTTTAGCACAGTAGCATCCTCTATTTATAAATAGAGCTTTTTGTCAACAAGGGATATAAAAAAGGGAAACTAATCAAAGGACAATAAAAAAATAATGGTAGATCTTTCATAAAAGATAAATATTTATAGAAAATTTCTTCTAGTGAAATATTTTTTGTAAATACACTAATTACTGAAATAATGTTATTTTAAACAAGATTTTATATGCGAATATAGCGATGTGCCGGATATCGATGATGATGGATTTTCTAAAATGGCGCACCTCCTAAGTAATATTTCTTCTATGGAGAATGTCCAACAAGAACAAATTAGAGGAGATGTGTTACAACTCTTCAAGGGACATCCATGCATCATTGGTAGGTTGAAGAGCATTCATTAGACCATGAAGCATTGTTAGCCAATTATGCTAGTTGTTATCTTATCAATAATAATCGATTCAACAAAAAATTATAGAAAGAGAAAAAGTCATGATAGGCACAACAACAATATTTTGGAGAGAAACTTTGCCTGCAGCAATAAATAGGAGAACAATGAAGAACAACTTTTCACCTCTTAAAACCCTAGTTATCTCTAAGAGTAGTAAATATGATAAAAAAAATAAGAGATTAATAGAAAAAAATAATAAATATTATATATTCATAACTTATCTCAACCAAGAGAAATAAACATAAATTTTATTCATGGATATATAAAATATGTTACCTATGATTATTGGGTTCATGAATTATGGTAAACAAACAATACAAGCTGCAAGGTATATTGGACAAAGTTTCATAATCATCTTATCCTACACAAATCATTTACCTGTAACCACCCGTAACTATCTTTCCCTAATATCTGCTCTTCTTTACTCTTCTCCACAATGCTTGACTTCTAAAAAGACCTTTTAGTTGAAATTTCGAGTAACACTCTAAGTGCTAATCCCAGTGTTAATATAATATAATGCGTCCGTCACAAGTCCTTATCATGTCTAAAAATTATCTAAGAAGTTTCATAATCTCTTCTTTTTTTTTTTTTAAGAAGTTAAAAATAATAAGAGTGGTCAAAACGTGTGTCTAATATGATGTCCTAAAGCATGCCAGTGCCTAGTTCGTCATACAACATAACAAATGACATCAAAACTATCTAAGATGAATCATAATTATTATTTAAGAAATTAATAAAAAAATACATGCAAAAAAACATGTCTAATATGATGTCCTACAATGCGTTTGTCGCACATCATAACAGATAACATGTTTTATGCTCTGTAAGTTGTTAAATTCAATAAAATTTGAGAATAAATCATGCGACCAAACATTTTCAGCACCGGGTGATAATTCACACAATATTAACAAGAGAAGCACACAATTACCTCTTTATTTTGCTGAGTCCTCTATTACCAATGATGAGACAGCTCAAAGGAATGTTATCAATGGCTTCGCATATCTTCTCACGGGCATCTCCCCAGTAAATCTTCATGACAACTATAGCCTACATGGCTGACAGTACAATCAAAATACTGATAACAAATACAAAAAAAGAAAGAAAAAAAAAGAGTAGTTCACATCACCTGCTTCTGCCTAGCAACTGTGTTGAGGATGTCCAGGGCCTCAGCATCAGTTTTAACCCCATATTTCTTCATAACGGTAGGATCTGATATCTCAGATAAAGGGATTAATGCTGCGAAAAAGATGAAAAGCATCAACAACAAGAAAATGTTTGAAGAAAAAGATAATATATCCCATCACTATTGAAGCAGAGGCAGCAACGCCATGTTAAAGAAAGTGAATGGCTCACGTCTTTCAAGCTGACGCCCTATGGAACTTTCTATCTAAATAAACCGCATGTTCTGTTTGATACTGATAAAATGCATACATATTTCATATCTCAAGTCTTCTAATCAGCAGAACTACAGTTAAACTAAAATTATGGACGAGAACATGCGTTGGTCCCATAAAATTAGTTGTGGGACTATTGTGAGAAAATATTAGTTTCCAAAGACTATTTTGGATATCATAGATATTTTACCTAATCTAAAAAAAAAAAAAAGTTGAATAACAGCTTTCTCATAACTATCAAATCTAACATATCTAATTGTGAAAAACTCATTTTAATCACATAAGTTTTAAAAAGCTACAAGAAAATTATAGACAAACAGAAGTTTGACAACCGTCTATAAAGAAAGCTAAAAATTAGACACCATGAATTAATCTCATATACGCCAAAAACAATGTCCAAAGTTCGAATTTTTAATTAAAAATGGATTTAAATTATCTCATTGCATGAAAATTTTATCTTCCCAATCCTAACTAATCCTGCTAGATAAACACAATCCTTCTCGAATTCGTTCGACCCGCAACCAGAAAAAGTTGTCAATGAACAAAAAGAAGATATCTAAACGAAGGTTTGTGTCCCTTGATAAAGTATTTTTTATTTAAAAAAAAAAAGCTAAAAATCCGACTTTTATCCCAACCATGGATCTAAAATTCGTTTTTCCGTTGTGCTACATTCAATTGCTTCCAGTAGCAGACCAAACAGAAGACAATAGCAAAAGAACGATTTGAGCAGACTAAAAGGGAATTAAAAAAAAGGGTAAAGTTTTAATTTTACAGACGGGAACCAGTAGCCACCCAGAGCTGCGTCTCGCCGCCTTCATAGGAGACCTCCTTTTGGACGTTGACGATGATGAGATGATCGCCGTCCTTCACCAAGTTCTCCGTCGCCCAGCGCAGCGCAGCCTTGCTGCACGGCGAGAAGTCCATCGCCACCCCTACCCTTCGATCTCCCGTCATCTCCTTCCCAGATCTGCGATCTCAGACGTCAAAGCACAGTAGAAGAGAAAGTCGAAGGCAGTTCTTCAAAGATGATTGCTGAGAAAAAAAGCCAGCCTTTTACAAAGAGTGATCAGGAATTTTAAAACAGAAAGAAAAAAAGAATGGAATTTGGACTAAAGCGGGGTGACGGAAAGAAAGCCGTGAAAAAAAAAAAAAAAGGGTTCTTTTCCCCGATAAAAACAAAATTAAAAAAAAAAAAAACCCGGAATTAAGGAATTGGAATTTTCACATGTTAAGTGCCATGTTGTTTATTTAATACACATCCTAATATATGTCAAAATTATAGTTATGTTATAATTTTTTAATACAGGATGTGACACATTATTAGCTAAATAACTTATATGTATTGGTCATTTACTCAGCGAGACAAGACAATAATATATGTTGTGTTCAAAATCAACATTGATTCGGCAACATAATTAAATATGTTATTTTTTGTATAGAATGACTAACAGGAAAATTAGCTGTGCTTTTTAAATCTAATATATACCAAATTTGGTGGAGTGAAACTTTTTAATCTAAATAACTCATGAGAGTTTAATTCATTCCATAATAATTCAGCCTCAAACAATGGAGAGATTATTGGGTTCGAACACCGGTCATAGTTTACCATTCGATACTTTACAACACAGAGTAATGTTGAACTCGTTATTATGAAGTATTGAGTTTGATATTCCACAGTACCGAGCAGTACTGAACTCAGTACTGAGTAGTACCGAACTCAATACCAAATAAAGGATGATGTGGCTCATTTTTATTAGGCTCCGTATGTTGTCCGATGTCCAAACCCAATAATTTCCCCCAACAACAGAGCCAGTAAAGGAAACTTTTATTATATCTGTACGCAGAGGAACGTTCGATTTTAGGCAAAAAAACGCCTGTACCGAGTTTTTTGAAAAAACTCGGTACACCTAGGTACTCGGTACAGGCGCTTTTTTTGCCTAAAACCGAACGTTCCTCTGCTTACGTTCACTGGATAAAATAAAAGTTCCAGTAAAGGGGCCGAGCCAAAGCTTGTCCATATAATTTTGTATGCAACATTCACAATTGATTTGGATTGAGCGAATACAGCAATGGAACCTTCAGAATTTCTACAAAAAGCAGCTGAAGTTTATTTTTTACTAGAAAATATGTGCATACCAGAGCATACTATGAGATAACATTAAATAATTAACACTTCCATTATCTTACAAAAATATTTTTCATTTTTGAAAAGATGTGGGGTGGGGGTATTTATAGTCATAACATATACCATCTAATACCTAAATCATTTAAAATTTAATATAATTTTATTTATATTTATAAATTTTAATATGATATAAATACCTATCAAATTTTAAATATTAAATATGATTGGTGCCTCTTTTAGTATGTATTGAAGCCCAAGCTTTTGATTATATTTTGCTTGGTTTTTCCATTTTCATGTAATGGCTGTTTTACAACCAGCTTTAGCTTCTCTTTCTTGAGCATTGCTCTTAACTTTTGGAGTTGGTTTTTTTTTTTTTTTTTTGGAGTTTTTTTTTTTTTTTTTGGGAAAAATTGGAGTTGGTTTTTTGCTCCCCATTTCCTTAAAGTCAACGGAAAAAACAAGCTTCAGAGATACATCACATCAATCAATCAACTGAAAAATTAAAAATAAAATGGTTTGAGATTAATAGGCAACCTAATTTGTCATCCATAACTCATAATAAATAAACAAAAGAATATTAAGTAGTGCAATTTGATCAAAAATGAACTAAATGTGGCCGCCTACAAAGAACGGTGAAATTATTCTGTGAAAATAGACAATATCCGGAGACAAATTAGAACGCATCACATCATCTATTTGCAATGTATCGCTATATATCGAGTGACATTGCGTATTCTAATTTGCCTACGAACGATCAGGTGTACGCACAAAATAAATGGCCGCCTATAAAGTGTAATTATTAAAAGATTTTCTGACAAGATCGTTAATTTGGGCATCAATACTAATTATTTTGATGATATACACAAATTTGTATGATACAAACACTGCCATATAAAACAGAGGTAAATAATTAAAAAGGTATCGCATGATTACTGCTAGTACAAGTGAAGAAGCAATGAAATGAAAAGAAAACAAATATTTTAGCAGGGAATCTGGAATAAATGTGTGTGCTTCGGGAAACTGCTCATTAATCCTTGTACAATACTTGATGGTAATGTTTGCCCTTTCATTAATTCTTGGCCATGACTCTCAATCAACCGAAGCACAGAACTCTCTAAATTGATTTCATTGAATACACCTGCATCACATGATCATTAAAAACCTCAATGTTTATCTATAGTAACATAACTAAAACAAAAAATAAAGCATTTCCAGTTAATCTGCCAATATGACTATTTGAAGTCCAACAACTGAAATCAGATAATAAGCACATATACTACCATGCATTGCAATATGCATTATTAACGTGGTAATGAATAATAATCTGCACATCAGGCTAACGACTCGGATAGTTCGATAAGAAATATCCGAGCTGCATCTCTCGTGAGGAACCAACAAGATGTTTATCAGATGGTTGAAAGTTTTCCTAGAATTCAATCCATTTCTTTGAGCGAGATTGAAGAAAAAGTTCTCAGAACTCTTCAGGTCAAAAGCAATGCAGAAAACTCAAATAATTTTGATATTGCCAAAGACAAAAATTATCATTGTAGACAATTCCTAAATGACGACAAATGCTCATCAGGAAAGTGATGGAACGGGTGAACAATTTTAAATAAGGATTTTGATTAATCCTTTAAGTGCGGCAGACTGTTGTTCTTCGGATTGTTTGACTTCACAATATTCAACAAGAAACTATTTCAATATATCTTCTTTGATCAACTTTTCAACGTTTTATGTAGTCTACACAAGTAAGAGAGCTATCTTGGAGGATGAGCAAGAACAAAGAGAGAGAGAGAGAGAGAGAGAGAGAGAGAGAGAGAAAGAGAGAGAAAGAAGAGAGTGAGACCAATGAGTGAGAGAGGGATTGCCTCGAGCAAGAGAGGTTGAAGAGATTGGTGGCTTGGATGTCATTGGCTTACGAACGATGCAAGTGCATGGCTGTGTTTAATCATTTAAAATCTACATTTGATTAGGTATGAGCCGCATTTGACTCCATTTGAGAATCCCAAAATCTCAACTTTCACGGAATTCAGGAAATTTAATATCATTGTATTCTACTCATTAAATAGAGCAACTCAATATATAGAACTAGTTGTCAAATTATGAAGGATTGGAAGTTAGGGAATTAAATCACAATTGTATTTTTCCTAAGCTAACAAACTATATTCACTGTTTAAAAATACAGAATACTATAGCAAGGGCAATTACCACGGCATGCAGTGCATAGGAGCGTGGGTACTTAGGTAATTGCACTAGTTACTGCATTTAAATTATTACAGCACTGGTTAGCGCTTTAAAACAATAGAACCTTGTCAACCGAAGCCTTCATTTTTCCTTGCTGGGAGCTGGCGAAAGTTCACGTGCGGCTTTGGGTCATGCACGGGAGTCACGTAGGAGGGGACACGGAGGGAGGCGAAGTGGTCAGCTCAGACTGACGTGCGTATAGGGAAGACGGGAGAAAGGATCCGCTTGTGAAAGGAGGCAGGAGGTGCCATTCGGTCGAGACAAGGAGTCAGGGCAGAGAACATGAGGTGCCATTCAAAGTTCGCGAACAGGAGCTAATAGGCACGTGCAAGGTCAATCTTGGTAAACGAGCGAGAACTCTACACTGAAAACTGATTGTAAGCATGATGCTTTGCAAATTGAGTGCAAAATGCCTAAATCATAATTGAAATCACTCGATCGGGTGCTGCCTGTTTAGCAAAACGGATTGTGACAATGCATCTGAAACAACAAAATTGACTAAAAAATAAATTCATAATTGTAATTATAAATATTATAATTATAATTACACACATAATCCTCTCTTCCCTACTTATGCTCACGTTTCATAGAGGAGAGAGCAACTGAGCGCGAGAGTCGGTACTCAAGATAGGGTCGAACGACTGGATCAGGCTTGAGGAGGCAAAGCGGTCGGGATCCACCCGCGTGACTTCGGATTGGAGTCGATCATAGCGGGTTGAGTGCGGCAGGCGGAGGTCGCGAGTGGCTCTGGTCCGGCTCATGCTCGGGAGTCGCGTAGGAGGGGACACAGAGGGAGGCGAAGTGGTCAGCTCAGACTGACGTGCGTATAAGGAATACGGGAGAAAGGATCCGCCTGTGGAAGGAGGCAGGAGGTACCATTCGGTCGAGACAAGGAGTTGGGGTAGAGAACAGGAGGTGTCATTCAGAGTTGGGTTTGTGAACAGGAGCAAATAGGTGTGTGCAAGGTCGATCTTGGTATTGCAGGAATCGTCGAAGATTCACGAGAGCTGGGAAACATTCGAGAACTCTGCACTGGAAACTGATTGTAAGTGAGTGTCTACCTGTTTGTTCATTTTCTTCATTGTTTTATACAAATCAGATCAAGGGTTAATGACGTGTCGACGTGCAACTCCTTTTTTTTTTCTTTTTTAGTTTAATTTAAATTTCAACAAATTACCTCCCAACGAATTCGGTGTGTATTTTCGGACAATGAATTAGTTGCAAATTGCTGAATATTTTATTTTTGTTATCTTTTTTTTTAGGTCATGACGTTTGATTGGATCAAGCCTCGCTCGATGCCTGATACGGACCTTCATAAGATCATATTTGGGAGGAAATAGACAACTATGATTCTTCCCTTTCTGCTTATGTTCGTGAGCATATATCGCGGCATCAGGAGATGCTGGTGGATGGAGATATATACGCCAAGCTATTCATTCATTATCCTCGAATGTATGCTTATGATTAAGAGATTCATGTAGGGCATGATCCCGCATATTGGGTGATCACCCTCAAAGAGGGAGAGAGGGTGTGAGTGTTGTGAGTTTTGGAGTGAGAGGGAGAGTATGAGGGGTTATTACGTGAGGGGGGGATATTTTAGGAATCTATTTATTTAGATTTTTTTTTTTAATCTCTCTTTCTCTCACTCTCTTATTTTTATTTTTTAAAAATATATATGATATGAAAAATTTTATAATTGTGCCTCGACATCACAGTAAAATCATCGTCGTCGTTCGTGTGATCTTAACTGTTTTCCGTTGCTTTGGAGACCATTTCGACAACTTGGTGTTGACCTGTAAGTAGTGAACAGGACCCAATATACAAACATGACCAAGTCCACCTCAGCCACGATCAAACCGACACAACTGCTCATCCCACGTTTCCGCAACTGCTCCCCACGACCTCCTCTCACAGCACAAAACACCCACCTCTATTCGCTCATTCACGCTCTCAGAATCGCGCATAGGAACAGAGCAACGAAAGAGAGAAGGAAGATTTTCGGAAGACTCGCCTCAGACGAACGAAGGCCTAGCCGCACGCGACTTCCGATCGGCCTCTTTCATTACTGCCCTAGTCGACTGCCGCCAACCTTCACTGCTTGTTCCGGCCTCTAGCTTCCGTCGACTCACCATACCCGCCGACCACCAAGCCCTCTGACCTCGACCACACCGGCTTTTGTTCTTCTCCACCAACTCCGACCAAATCAACCGGTCAACGCCAGCCCGACGTCGAAGTCGCCGGCAGACCCCAAGCCCCACGACCTCCTGCTCCGGCCGACTCCAACCGCCGCGATTGCTCCCGTGTCCGTGCCCTAGCCGCCCGATCGGGCTTCTTCCCGATCCCTCTCCTTCCTCTGTTATATATTATATAAGATATATATTATATATAAGATATATATTATGTTATATAAGATATAATATTATATATTATATATAAGATATATACTATAGGGGCTTGCGCCTATAGGAAATCAGAACTCAGATCAAAAAGTCCTCACAAAATGAGGGCAAAATCTCTGGGTAGTGTCTTATTTAAAACCCAATCTGCCTTCTGAAAATTCCCCTGGAACCTAATCTTGTTAAAACTCTCTATCGTTATTGTCACACAAACATTTAAAAAAAAAAAAAATAGACGGATGGCGTGGAGAGACAGGGATCATACAAAATGGAATTTTTCAGAGCCCGCACTTGGGTTTTCGGTCAACGAGCGTAGGGTGAGTTACGCACGGCGTCGCGCTCTTTTGCTTTTGAAATTCACTGTACGCGGTCGACCCGACCCCGAAACTAATATTGAGGTCAACAACAACTCCCAAAGCTAATCTACAACATCAATCATTTGTTAGCAAACAAGTAGAGTGGACAAGATTCAAAGAAGGAAAATAAAATCAATCAAATACCTCAATCTAGAGGAAACTATGTTTGCAAAATGCCCCCAAATTTCAAAGCCGATTATTATGGAGCCCAAATTCTTACAAAAATATGAAAAAAAAAAAAAAAGGTTGCAAGCAAAAACTTCATATAAGGTGGGCTGTATAGCTCAAAATTTTGAAAAAACAGAAATAGCAATTGCTTTAAAGAAGATATAGGAATGTCCTTGCACTGATCTAACTTACCCAACTCAAGCTCTTGATCATCATCATCTATATCTACTTCTTCAACCATCTCATTCTCCAAGTCAGCGGCTGCTTTTGCATACCGTTCCAAAAATTCATCTTCAGTTTCTTCAAGCTGTTCATCCTCAGAATCCTGAAAAATTAAATAAATCACATTGTATGACATCATTTCCGCATTCTACCTGGGCTGCAGGTTGTGGGAAAAGGCATGTCGACTATAAAAAAGGACCATGACATTGTAAATAAAAAACCACCAACGGTTACTTGAATGTGAGATCAGAATAAACAAAAAAAAAAGTAGCAGAATTTCTCATTACGGACTGATTTACCTCGTCAGAATCGTCGTCCTCATCATCATTATCATCACTATCCTCTTCATCAGAATCTTCAGTCTCTTCATTGCCCTCCTGAAGTTCTTTCAAACGAGTAAATGCATCCAGCAATGCCATAAAGCTGACCCTTAAGACTTCACCTCTATCTAACAATGATATAAGCAGTCGCTCAACCACCCTCGTTAATGTTACCACTAAAAGATATTTCAAGGAATTAATACTGAACCAACCAAAAAAAGAAAAGAAACTTGATGCAGTAACAAAAGAACATTTATGCTTGATATCAGTGAACCAGTGAATAAGAGAAATGTTGCTCTAGAGGCATAAGACAGTGAATGGAGCCAACTAATTTTACCAGATAATACCAACTCAGATTCAGTTGAAAGACCAGGTGTAAAAGAACTTGTTGAGATATGGGCCAGAGCACTTGCCCAAATTATGAAACCCTTATCAGCTTCTTTATCAAGAACTTGTTCAATATCCTCAGGATAAAAAATATAGCATGAAGATATAACCAACAAAAGAGGCTTCCACAGTCCAATAGGCTTCTCATGTATGTCCCTGAAACGAGAGAATGCTGTTCTTGAGAAGGTTGTTGCCATCGCATGCTTTATAGCATCAGCATCAGACGAGGAGCTTGGCACATGTAGCAATGCATGTATGCACAGACAAGCCCGCCAAACAGCTGCTGGATATGTTTTAATAGCATCACTCACAAAAATGCAAATGCCTTCAAAAATTGAAAGCATTGAGCCAGGAGAAGAATTTCCTAATGGTAATCTTCTGGTGAAAAGTATTTGAAGATCACATTTTCTTTGCAAATTAACAGCTTCCTGAATAGAATTGAAAATTGATTGGTCCTCCATCTCTTCCCATAAATCCCACTCAGCAATTAGGGTAGACCACACTGCTAACAAATCAATAATCTTTAAGCTATCCACTTCATCCCTTTTGGTAATGAACCTCATGATAAAGCCAAGCAACGTAGAGGCATCATCAATGCATGATGATGATGGTAATGCTCCAGAAACAGCAAATTTATGATCATCCTATGTGGAGGAAGATGAATAAAAAAATCATTTGCCGTGCCTTGGTTAATCTTTCTTAATACATAAATTTTCTCAGGGAATTGATATTATCAAGAATAATAATTAGGAAACCAGCTAACATCAGAACTTCAAATAAATACCCGCTTACAGAAAGCATTATAATAAGTGCCAGATAAGATAATGACAAGCCAATGCAGTTGTTTTCAATATAGTGGGGTTATCAATGATGCTTGATTCATAATAAATCATAGTAACTCAAAGAAAACCATACCACATTCTCAAAAACAGGCATAAGCCAAGCCTTCTGTAATAAATTCGAGAATAAGCTAGCAATGGAGGCCCAACCAGATCTCCATTCCCCGTTTTCTAGATGTTGGATATTATCTGGTAGAGAACTTTCCCAAATATGTGCTACTTCAGCTAATGCAGCAAACCCACGTTCAAGCACCTAAATAAACAAAGCAAATTTATTTATGATAACGAAATCCCAGTTTCTAAGTGATAACTGAAAACAATCGGAATTAAATCAACATTAGAAGAGAAATTAAAATATGTTCTTATCCATTCAATGGTATGCTGACAATCATAGTTCCTAATTTAAGATCCCATTTGAAGTACAATAGAAGTCGCAGCGCTATGCACATGGAACTACAGTGTTTATAAAATGTGTTTAAATTATTGAAATTTCCTAGAAACGGAAGTACAGGCAGAAGAATACAAATCACGAAAAAATGATTGTTATATTGCTTTTAATACTAGCATACTTGCTCGTACATCAAGTGTGTGTGAATAAAAATTTAAAAATAAAAATCTACAATATCTTTGCTGCAATATTAAACAAGTTAATAATGTTTATTAAAAAGAAGGGGTTAAAAATATCCATACCCAAATTTTAGATTAATGATTGCACACATCGTTATTCATAAGTTGCTTCTAATAAAGAGTGAGTAAATATCTATTTTCACTCATACTTCTACAAAATGTGGCAGTCAAGCATTTATTTTGCCACACTTCTCATAATTTAATAATTTTTTTATAAATAAATATGATAATTATCATCTTATTATATCAAACAACATCTTGGGTCTATTGTTCAGAGTAACGGTGAAATAGATGGGGATATTATTAGTAGAATTCAAGTTGGATGATTGAAGTGGAGGAATGCATCGGGCTTGTGTAATAGAAAAGTCTCCCTCAATCTTACGGAAAAAATCTATAAGACGGGGGTTAAACCTGTAATGCTTTATGGTGCAGAATGTTGGCCATTAAAAGAGAAGCATAATATTAAGTTAAGAGTTGCATAGATGAGGATGCTCAGGTGGATGAGTGGTTTTACTCTTAGAGACAGGATAAGAAATGAGCATTTACATGAAAAAGTTGAGTAGTCTAGCGGAAGATAAGATTAGACAGAGTCGCATTAGATGGTTTGGTCACATAAAACGGCAGCCTTTCGATGACCCGGTTAGGAAAGTGGATGTATTAGATTTGACTTATATTGAGAAAGGTAGAGATAGACATACAAAGACTTAGTTAGAAAATATTAGAAAGGACATTTCTTTATTAGATTTAAATGAGAATTAACTTTTAACATGACACAATGGAGAAAAAGGATTCAAGTAGCTGACAACATAGTGGGATGAAGGCTTGGTGTTATTGTTATATTATATCAAACAACAATAAAAATATTTCTTAGATGACATGATTAAAAATTATATTGCAAAGATCATAAATTCATTCTAAGTGAAAGTTTATAAAATTTATGTACCAAGCATCGCTTATTAGTTTTAGACTTCAAAATAAAATGGTGGAATTCATCCATGAGACAAACATGCACCACAAGTCTACAAAATACCCTAGTAGACTAAGCTGCCGTCAAGGATCATTCCGTGGGCTCCAAAAATTCACATCCCGACCTCTCCATGACCCTCTTTCTTTTTTGGATCGGTGAGGAGAGTTTTAACGTTTAAGTTTCGAGGCAAATTTTCAAAAGATAGATTGGGTTTTAAATAAGACATTACCCAGAGATTTCACCCTCATTTTGTAAAGACTTTATGATCTAAGTTTAGGTTTCCTATAGACGCAAGTCCCTATAGATTATCCCCCCCCCCCGAAATAACGAGAGAGAACTTTCGATTAAGACTAGTCGTCAAAAAGATACACGATATCCGGGTATAATAGCAACATATTTTGATATTGAAAATTAAAATTTAATACCGTATACTTAAAGCGGATGGTGGGGGGAATAATGATGAACCCGATCAAAATCCCATGATTTTGTCATCCTGGGTCATCGTGGTCCTTAGTCTACTTAGTCAGAAGAAGTAATAAACCCAATCTACCTTCTAAATTTACTTGTGGCGGCATTTGGCGACAAAACCACTTATCATAAGACACATACCACGTCCTTACTAGCAAGAGATAATTTGAGAATTAATCTTAATGATATTCTCGACCATGCATTTGCTCTTTATAAACTAAAGTGATTTTCAATCTTATCTACCTAGGCAAATTATTGCGAAGGGTGCATAGGTATTTTTCTTTAAGTGTTAGATAATTAATTTCAAATTTTTTAATATATATAGAGTTTTGAAGCTTTTGGTATAATTTAAAGGTTAACCCCTCCGCTTGATATTAGCTTTCAACACTGTCATCATCGGGATGACTTTATTGTTACCTTAAATGCTCATATTTAATGAGTATGGGAGACATTTTAAAAGTTTTGGGTCCCCTCCAATTGAGATTTTCTATCAACACGGCTATCATCAGGAATTTTAAAGTCATTTGAAAATACTTATATTTCAGAAGCATTTAGAGGCATTTGGAAATGTAGAGTCCCCTCTAATTGAGATAAACATTCAACACAGCTACATTAGAAATTTTAAAGTCATTTGAAAATATTTGTATTTCATAGGCGTTTGGAGGCGTTTGAAAATGTAGTCCCCATCGGTTGCGATAAACATTCAACATGGCCATCATTGGGGTTATGTCAAAGTCAATTTACATGCTTGTATTTTATAAAAATTTGGGAGGCATTTAAATGTTTAGGGTCCCTTTCAGTTGAGATTTTCTATCAACATGACCACCATCGTGGATTTATGGATATAATCATTTAATTAATTGGACCTTGTAAACTCTATTTGCTTGCAAACAAAGGATCAAGTCGAGCTCCTAATTAATGGAATTATTGTGCGGATATCGGAACCAATGTTTATTTTGATGTGTGAATTTTCTTTGTAAGAGACGTTAAAGGCCTAATATGAACGTATAACAATAAATACTCCAGTCGGTGCTACGACTGTGTATTTGTTCAACGATTCTCTCTCTTTTAGACTTTCATATGTGCACTGCTTATGAACTTTTCTTTCAAAGCTTCTCTCTTTTAAAACTAATGCATGATATAGTTCCACATATGACTCTTGCATTAATTCAAAAAATCAATATGCATATTGATGGTTTCTTGATCTTTTATGTTGAATCCTGTCTAAGTAGATTAATTTTCTACTCACTCGATCATGATTGTAGTTAAGGATTGGTGTTAGTGAAAAATATATCTAAATGAATTATCCACCTCCGTTACACTTCAGGTTGACTAAAAAGAGTCAAAATGGGGTGTGACAACTATAATATACCAACATTGCAGTTGAAATCATAATGTCACCTATAAATCTATTAATAAATAGCTTTTGATTAATACACGCATTAAAAATAAAAAAAATGATGAATGCTAAGAAAAAATCTCATGTGAAATTTCAAATTTCATATATATTTTCATTAGAAAAATAAAGGCAATAAAAGTCTAATTGAAGATAGAGAAGAAAAACAAAAATTAGACAATAAAACTCTAACTAAATGCGGAGAAGAAATATAGTAATTAGAGATATGTAATCGGATGGGAATTTGGAATAAATGGAATTAAAGTCAAATTAAGGGTACAGTGATATCAGAACGTTTGGCTTTTCCTCCAATTGGATGCAATTATGGTAACAATGCAGTACTGGAAAACCAAGGTTGTGACAAAGTTTTTAATTTTAAGAGATAATATTAAATGCAATAATAATAACAATAATCTAGTATACAGAATAAGCTAATAATAACATCAAATAAGTTAATAATAACACTGAAAACTAATATCTATTAGATGTATGGTTATCAAATAAGTTAATAATAACATTGAATACTAATATCTATTAGAAGTATATATATATATATATATATGATGTAAATCATAAAATATAAGATTAGGATTGTATTTGGGAAGTATTATAAGCCACTTTTATATAGTAATAATAATATAGATTATGTAATTCAAAACTTAAACATAAAAAGACCTTCTAAAAGCATATATAACTTAATATTTTTAATCGAACTGATGTTAAAGAGTTGCAAACTTATCAAAGAATAATTAGAATAAGTATTTTTAAGATCATTTGCATAATCTTTAGAAAATTCCAATAGGCTTAACATAGAGAAATGTTTCCATTTGTGTATTAAAAAAAATATATCCATAATAGATTGCTCTCTTAAAATTAGGTTGACATTGCTTGGCGCTTTAGAATCCCACCTATTCACAATGCTTGAAGGCCTATGTAGTATTTCAGGTATAACATGTACACCATGATAAAAAAATTCAGCAATGGAACCAGTTTCACTTCTAAAATCATAGGCTTTTAACAGTTAAATTATGGAAAATTTTGAAATCAAGCAGACAGTGAGCATACCTGAGGCCAAGGTTCTCGCATAGATGGTATTTCCCTCAAAATAACACTAGCTATATTGGAGACAACTACAGGGATGTGAATCGCAACCTTATCCTGCCCAGCCTCAAGCACAGTGCTAAGAAAATTGAAAAAGAGACGAGATTCATTTTCATCTCCAATACCCATCCTGTTAACCAGAACTTGCAAGAGGGATGTCCAGTCAGGTGGAAAATATTCATTCTGCCAAATTGAACAGAGTAAAAAATTGATGGTTGTTTTTCACAATAAAAGAAAAACCTGCAGGTTTCATGTAATTCTTACGTTAATAAGTTCTGTAATGGCTCCGGCAGCAGCAGCACGAACTGGATAATAATTGAAACCTCCATCATCAGACCAGGTCAATGCCTTAGTCAGTAAACTATAGATATTTGCACTCATAGCCTACAAGGAGACAAAGCAAACGCGTTAATTGCATCAATAAAACAATGCCTCATCATTTTATCAGTAAAGCATTACCCTCAAGATGTTAAAATGAACTCACATTCTCCTTTTATAGAGTTGAGCATTCAGATAGTTTGGTCAATCTTTAAGTATCCTATCTATCAATTGAAAAAAACAATTAGACTGTTTCTGAAAACACTTGCCTGCAATAAAGCTTGATAAGCTTTCAGAAGTTCTTGTGACAAAGCAAGTGTTTTGAGTAGCATGTCATCAAGATAAGTGCATAATCAAACCGTTAGAAAGCTTATAAACTAGAAGCATCATAAAATAAACTAGCTTATCATCTCTTTAAAGGTTTTGTCAATGGCTAGGTCAGAAGTACTTACAAAATGCATCAATTAGGGCTGTCAAAACTGGGTCACGGGTCGGGTCCAACCCGAAATTGACCCGACATTGTCCAACCCGACCCGAACCCAACCCATTTTTTTGCAAAAGGGTCAGTTTTCTGAACCCAAATCCGACCCGCTTCAGGTCCAGGTCAACCCGAACCGACCCGATTAGAGTATATTTTATTAAATTTTTTTATTTAATTCAATTCATTTAAATCTAAATCAAATTAAGGTAAGATTTATTTCAATTAATTTAAAATAAATCAAGATTAATTTAATTTGGGCAATAATGTTTATAATTTTTTGAAATATCACTTACTTATTTCATAAAAATCCATTAAAATCCTCCTAAATTAATTAAAAACAGGTCAAACCGGGTTGATTTCCGGTTTCCGGGCCAACCCGAACCCAACCCGATTTTACAAACGGGTCGAAATCCCTAACCCGAACCCGACCCAGTTCGGGTCGGGTTTTTGGGTCGGATCAAATATTGACACCCCTAGCATCAATGTTTGAGCCTTTTATATAACATATTCAAATGATGTTCAGAACAAAAGAGAAAATTAGCATAGATTTGATCATTGTAACAACTGTAACAAAAAGTTCTGGTTTCTAAAAGCTAGGTGCATTCCATCGACCCTGTAAACACCATGCCATGAAATAGTTTTTTGACAAAAAAAAAAACATAGGCCACTAAAAGAGTCCAACCTAATTTGAAATCATCATAGTCATATTAGGCTTATCCATGAACTGTTTGAATCATTCTTCTCCATGCATTCCTGCCATGTTATGAGAGGTTTTAACTTCATTTTTCCAAATCATTTTGTACACCTTTCAGCAATTCCACATTTGGTCCAATTTTATTACTAATCATTTCACATCAATTATATCTACCAATCTTAAAATCAAGCTCACCTTTTAAATAAGCGCTCGAATGACTGTTAGAATTTTTTTTAATAATTACTGTTTTTATTAAATTTAATAACTAAAGCCGCAGCCAAATAAATGTTGCAGCAATAATAATTACTAGAGCTATAGCAGCATCTAAAAAAATATATAAAACATTAAGGATATATTCCCAAAGAAAAATTGCAGCCATTAATTGCTCCAATTAATTAATTCAAGGTTTTTTCCCTATAAGGAAAAAATACAATAGCAAGCTTCTTCCACGGCTGTGATCGCGTCTACTCTCCACAAGAAAAAACAACGTCGTCTTCTTCTCCAACTATCACCGCATCAATGATTGATCAGTTCTTTTGCAGTGAGCTCGTGAGCTGGCTCGCGAGCATGCCTTTATTGTACAAGCCAAGATCGAGCACGCCCTTTGAGCTCGACTCAAGCTCGAGTTCGAGCTCCCGATTTGGCCGGCGAGCCAAGCTCCAGATAAGCATAACTCAAGCTCGGCTCGAGTCTTTTACAACCCTAACAACCTCTTTAATGACCAACAAACAAATCTACATAGCATAACAAGTCTAATAATAATTTTACAAATGAATTAATTTAATATTATTTGATGAAAAGGAAGCGAAAAATGCCAAGATATAATTGATCATCTATTCTAGAGGAGGATTGATCTCTCCCAATCTCTAGACGCCGCTAGAGCCCAAAGGAAAACCTAAATCTATGAGATCTCAAATTTCAGCTAAATTCAAGATGCTCTAACCTTAGGAAACAAACTATTTAATGCATACAAATCAAAAGGAAATCCCTAAACAGTCCCTACATTCAATTTCCCTCCTAAACTCCCTTCAAAATCCTTCCTATTCGGTTCCTTTGAGCTCGTAGAAACGAGCGGCTATTCCGGGAGGCGGAAGAGTTCCACGACTAGACCAGCTGGACCAGTCCATTGGACCGGTCTAACAATTTTCTAGTTCAATTTAACCTAATTCAAACACAATAGCCAGATCAGCTATCTCAAAATCCGTGCCCATGAACAACGAAATCTTGTAGGAATCCCAATGATGATATGGTGATAAAATAAACAACATGCTCAAATAAATAGCCCATCAATTATTGAAAAAAGCTCATGCCCCTCAGGTTCAATATGGTGTTTCTAACAAACATTAACTCATGAGGTCCTACATTTTAATCCTAAAGTGTCAAATGTAATCAACATAGCATGAGTATTAAGACAGCATCGTACAACCATTGTGACTAGAATAATGGCTTCAACAACTAACTTTTCTAATAAATAAAACACTTCTTAGGCTATAAAAGGGGCTTAGCGTCAGTATCCACATTTTAAATATGTAGAGTAAAAAAAATCAGTCAAGTGGTGGACCCAATAAGAGTTTGCCATTTCGATTATGCCAAACTGGACCTTCGTCTCACAAAGCTTGACTTCAGTCAAAGTTCTCCCATTGGAAAACACCCTTGAAGTAAATCTAAATTGCTTTCTTGGTTTATTAGGATGGTGGTGAAAGACCGTGTGATAAGAACACATACACCGGTCACCGAGTATCCCAACACATGAGGCATATCTTGCATGCAACAAAAAGCATCTCTCAAGTAGACGTCTTATCACTTCTCCACACCTTACAAATTTCCTTTAGTTTCTTTCATAATTTAAACCAACATGCAAAAACAATATCAGTGAAAGCAATATCATTCACTGATTAAGTTAAAAAGGGACCTTCAGAATTATATATTTACATCAGAAAATGAAGTTGGTAAATCTCTTGTAATTTTGCCTTACATTTACATTTGGTGCGTATCACCATATTTTGCTATCAACCTTTCCCTATATACAACATACAAAAAATTACCTGAGGAAGGCAGCAAGCAAGCTCTCCAAGTAACCAGCTGGCAGTCGAAACCAAATATGGAGAACAAGGACACAAGGAAAAAATTGGAAGTACTCGATTTTGAAGCAATGTATATATGTACTCAGAACTTCTCCCTTTAAAGAACTGCAAAAACAAAATTTAAATCATTCTGGAATCAGTCTTTGTCATAGCATTTATAACGCCTGGTTTTAAATGGGGAAAATTAATTGTAGATGCTTACATCTTGGAGACCTCCATATGCCATCAAAACACCATAATAACTGCCAATTAGGACAATGAAACATGCCAAACAAACTTCTAGTTAGTGAAAAATGAAATTAAGCCTTGCAAATAGCAAAAGCACCTATGAAGAGGACTTTCTTATGATACAGCGCTTAATAATGAGCGTGATAAAGTTTCATTCAATTTAACTCACTCTTTCAAAAACTTTGATGAAGACTCTTCTGCACCACAGGGTATGGGAAACTTTGATAGGAATGGTACCACTAATAGTTCTCCGACAGAGCTGTGACCCTCTTTTTTTTTATTTCTGTCACGTTTTTTGCATTTAGAAGCAGTAGATACAACAGGTGGACCCTAAAAAAATATTCAAAATATATATTATCAAAAGAAGAAATAAAGTTTAAAAAATAAAATTTTCAAAGATGTGCAAGCGGCAACGACAAGCAGGAGCAAATGGGGGAGAAAGGTTAAAGGAAACAAAGAACTTTCAAAAATTTAAAAACAAAATTGAAATTTGTTTCATCAAAACATATCCAACAATAAAACTGCGTAGTAATACCAGAGAGAAATTAAAAAATCTGGAAAAAAAAATGATGTGTAACAAACAGTAAAGCTTAAGCTGCTTCATGAAAATGACCTTCGACATTGCAATCACACCAAGCAAATTGATTGCACTTTTCCTTGCCGTAAATAGATCCTCAATCAACCCTGAAGTGTCATCCTGCAGAAGGAAATTATCAACTTCTTTAAAAAAGCACCAAAAACAACAAAAACATTAAAAAAATAATAAATCAAACACCATACAAGGTTAGATGGTAGGTTCTTCCTTAAGTACTCATCGGCATCCTCTTCCCACTCCGATGCATCCTTGAGAAAACAAAAAAATGAATTATATGATTAATAAAATCATGTATTGAACATTCATTGAAAATAGTTTAAATTAAGATCATTGTTTCGCCTTTGAGCTACATGGTATCAATATGGAATAAGAGACAATGAGTAGTAGAATCCATCACATTGCTCTCATCCTTCGGAAGAGATGGCAAGGGTTCAAATACCAACGAAAAAAAATTACATGGCAACAAGAACAAAAGAGACAATGAGTATCACCTAACGCATTGCTCTTGTCCTTCAGATGAGACGGCAAGGGCAATCATCCACGGAAAAGAGTAGCAATAAGTGGATAACTTATATCTTTATCTAATAAACTGTGCCAAAGTACATATAGTTGATCAAAACATTTTGAAATCCAGAAGGAAGATGTACTCATGATTGGGTTAGTTACAGTGTTACACTAGGTTCAATATATTTCAATCATAATAATATGCATTTCTGCAGTAATAATATGATAGTTTGAAGCATAAATAACTATTTTCCAACTTATTTGAGTGTGGCTAATTTAATCCCAAAATATCATGTTGCTCCAATTTAACCCCCCAACAATATAAAATTGATCTAAAATAGTCCCTCACATTATAATCATGATATAAAATTGATAACAATTTAATCCCAAAAAAATCATTTTGGATCAAATTTGTAAGTCTAAAGATTAAATTAGAGCAACATAATAATCTCAAACTAAATCGGCTATATATTAATAGTTGGGGAACTATTTTCTTTTGAAGTTTACATGTGTATGCGTGCGCGCGCAAATGTGTGTGTGCATGCATGCACGATATGTGTGTTGCGCTGTGTAATGCTAGATAGGTGGTGGACGTAATGCAAATCAATAGGAAATAGAAAGCAAGAAAGGCAAGATGAAAAAACAATGAATCCTCAAAGGTCTTCGCATCAAATCTTCAAGCTCTTAATGTCAAATCCTCAAGATATTATATTGTCGAATTGCAAGGCTAGAAAACTAGTGTAAAACCCGAAATTCGTCATTTGAGTGCGTCGCACGCATTTCGATGCGTCACACGCATTTCGATGCGTCGCGACGAACTTAAGTGAAATTTAGATGTCGTCGAAATTTTACGAAATAAATTTTATTAAATTCGTCACGAAATTTCGATCGAAACGATATAAAGGATTTATATCCAATTTCGCACGGATTTGAAATTAAAATTCGTCGAAGTTTGTTTAAGTAACTTTTAGCCATTCTCCCCATTTTACCCCTCAAGGCTTATTAGAGAGAGTGATAGGATGAGGGGCACATGCATAACTTCCCTTCATATCTCTCCTTAAGCCATTCTCACGCCTAAGGGACCGAACATTTCGGTCCCTTGTGTTTTTGTTCGGCCGTGAGAGAGGAGCGGGCAGAAGAGGAAGGAGGCGACGGGAGGGCTCAAACGGCGGCTCTCCGGCGATGGAATTAGGGGGGAAACGAAGGAAAAAGGCTAAGGAAGAAGAGAGGTAAGTGTAGTATGAAAGAAACTTCCCTCTTTTGTGAGATTTTTGCTTGGAGAAATTTTAGAGTTTTAGAAATTTTTGAAGCTTGTAAAGGAAAAGAGTGTAGGAAGTTGAGGGATGGCTTTTATGTGAAGAAATTAGGTGTTTTTCCTAAATTTTTAAGTTTCAAAAATTAGGGTTTAATAAAACATTTTACTTTAAATAAGGATTGGTGTTAGGAATGATTTACAAGCATAATTGAAATAAGATTTTAAGTTTTCCTTAACAAAATTTTAGAGTTTTAAACTAGGGCTTTTTCAAAAATTAGGATTTTGATCTTGCATGTTCACAAATGTTGTTCCTAACAGTTTAGGAGGCCTCTAATAAAAAAGAAAATGAAATTTTGATTAAAAAAATATTTTTCCCTAATTTATTAATTAATTAATCCGAAAATTATTAATATAATTTATTAACTAGATGAAAGGAATGTTTTTTTTTTTATGATTAGGTGATGAAAATAATAAATATTGAAATGCTAAATTTTGGGGTTTTATTTAAATCCGAAAATAACAATTTAATTTTAAATGAAATTAATGATTTTGGAGATTTGAATGCGTATGTTTAATTTTGAAATTTCTTTTCCCTTAGGTTGAATAAGGGAAAGTGGTAAGGAGTGCGAGGTAGTTTAGCGAAGAAAGGTTTTAGGGTAAGTGACACATTGCATTCTAAAATTCATAGAATTTCCTTATGTATTGCCTATGTTTCTTAGCCTCATTAAATTCTCTTATGTTTTTCTTATGTTTAATTTTGGATGTTAGCACAAATCTCAAATCTTGTATTATGTTCTTTATGTTGCATATGGTATCTTCATGTAATGTTCATGATAATATATTTTACTTTCATGCCTAGTACAAGCATTCACATACATGTGGCACATCATCTGATTTTATGAAATCCCTTACGTTATGATGTAAATAATCTTATTGTTATGATTATGGAATACAAGTTTGTGTATGCTGAACTGCGGAGTACCAAATATGGATAAGGTTCTTTGGAACAATAAGGCTCTTAGAGCAATATGATGATAAATGGCCAATTATGAATTTGTACCTGATCAGTACAATACGGGTACTCCGGTACGGGTGTATACTATATGAGAACTATATCATGTAAGAGTTATAGGAGATAAACATATGATAGGTAAGAAGGAACATTACATATGGCATCAAATCTTACATATGACATTAACCTTACATAGATATATGATGTTATCTTGCATATCAAATTCTTTTTCATTGTATAAATTTTAGATTGAAATATGTCAATTGCTGAGCGTAGCTCACTCCCTAGCTTTGGGAAAATTTTCAAGAGAACCTACTCATAAGTGATGGCTGAACACCCGAGGTTTACTTATAGTCGTCGCGTAACGGGTGACAGGTTCTTACTTGTTTTTCCTAGTTATAAATTTTTGAGTGGTTTTATCATGATTGAACAGATTAAGTTTATAACCACCTTGTATATGAACTTCCTTTTTGTAATGGTTTGAATGTTAAATACATGTTTTGGAAAAAGTTTAGAGGCGCTTTTATGTTTCTTTTAAAGTCTTTTAGAATTGTTATGTATGAAATATGATCATTAAATTGTTTTGATCGTCCGACTTCGTTCCCGCCTCGAATTGACGAGCTAACCGGGGCGGGTCGTGACAACTAGGAAGCAACAACAAGTGCTAAAGAAAATTTTTATTGAAGTCAACATAGAATCCATAACCAATAATGAACTCACATACATAAGGTACTATATATAAAGGAAATAAGACTCTTATTAAGAATGAAAGCATCCATATCCTTATTATGTCCATTGCAGGAGAAAGAAGAGGTCTGCGGGTTCGGAAAATGCTGAAAGAGGCATGTGGGAGCACTACATATGAGATGCAGGATTTCACGTGTGCTGCAGTTCAGAGATAGTGACGTGTTGCGAGTTGATTTCACGTGAGAAAGTGAAAGACAAAAGCACACGTGAGTTGGAGTTCAAGAGAAGCCAGATACTAGATATTGTGGTAGGGGAGAGATAACAAGGATTAGCACTGGGGTGAGAGTTTGAGTGAGCAAGCGCACACGAGATTGAGAGAGAGAGAATACAGCAGTGCACTAGGGCAAAAAGTAGTGCATAGTTGTTGGGGTTTCCATGAAAACCAAATATTTTTTAACACATTTATAAACTCTTATTATCAACCTTGCTCTAAAGTCCCGTTGATAACTATAGAGATTCTGATATCAAATGACAGCAATGACTGATAAAGAAGCGCACTCATTCTCAAGTGCAATTGCACATAAATTTGGACCAATAGGGTCTTCATCTACAATACCAAATTATAAAATGTAAACTTTGGTCGGCATTGTTTTTAATCCAATCATATTTTCCCATTACTAACTTCAAAACTTCACCAATTGAAAAAAAGACACAAATAAGCACCTATGATGAAACTAAATGTCACATAAACACAAAAAGGTCTGAAGCAGGTCAAGAAGGATGAGAATATAACTCACTTTCTGATGCAATGCTACTGCAGGGAAGATTGCTGAATCTAATAGAGAAGAAAAATGTGGTGATACCAATCTCCACCCCTGTAAAAATTAACAGTTACAAGATATAACAATATATCATAATCCAATTTTTCAATAACAAAAGTTAAGCATTGTTTGCCACGTTAAATAGAAGTAATAAATATTCATGAAGTAAGATTTCTTCCTCAAATAAAGCATCATTAATAGAACGACAAAATAGATCCTCACAAATGATACTTTTAATGGAACCAGCACATAAAGCATTCTAGAGCAAAAATAGATCTAGTAGGAATAGTAATCTAGGAAAAATGGAGAAATTTTATGATGGAAAACCAAGAAAAACTTACGGGGCCTGTTTCAAGTACATGTGAAATTACATCAAACGCCAGAGAAACAATCCGCTCTGGAAAAGCATCCAACATCTGCACGACCACAAATGTCTTAAAACCATACATAAAGGAAACACATGATAGAAAACCAGCAAGTATAGAAAATATTGACAAAAAGGATGCTTATTGTATTGAGAAAGTCATCAAGAAAACCCATGTGTGGTGATAATGCCTGTAAAGTGACATTATTGTCCTTCTAAATTGCAATATCCAAATTTACAGGTAATGAAAATTCAAAAGTCAATTCTTTTAAAGTTAAATAAGTTTAATTAATATTTTTATTTATAATAAACTCTTAAATAAATTAATAATTACTCAACAGTTAATTGCTGTTAAGTGAATTTAGTATTATTATTAAGTAAAGTATTAAATGAAATTATTTATTCATATATTCCTGAAGAGATGTTTCCTTTGGACGTGAGTGTATGATGGCAGTTATAGTCGGCCTCTTATCCATTCCCTACTATTTCTTTTTCACGCAAGCAATGCAGACGATTGGAGAAGCATGGATAGTGGCGGGTTGTCAACTGTAGATTGGATGTTAAGCCAGTAGCTGTGTGAAGAATTCCTATTATTCATTGGGTTTGATTTCACGACACAGTGACTAACAAGAATTCCTTGTTTGGAATTTCATGCAAGCATAAGGCACTGGAAGAAGTGCAGTTGCGGGATTGGAGAAGTATTCAGCACATTACAGGCAACGGCTGAAGGAAATTATGGGGAAAATGTAGCAATTCACAGTGCAGGTTACCTTGTTCGGTACAGTGCAGAGAGACTGTTGACTTGTTCTGCACAGTGCAGAGAAGAGGCGGACAGGGCTAGGTAAGTGACTGCTTGATGCGGACATCCAACCGTCCATGCTAATCCGAGGAGCTGAAGATCGACGACCGAGATCACTTTATTTTATTTTCGTTTATTAAGTGTATTTTAATTTAGTTTTGCAATTTCCCTTTTTTACCCTCTTGTCTTATGTAAGCCCAAGGGGCGAATGTGTCTTTTAATTTCTCTTGAGGCATATATATAGAGGCCCCTTCTCTTGTATTTGGATGATGGATTATTAATAAAAAAATTTGTGTTTTGCACTTGGGTTCTTTAGGAAGAACGTTAGCGAAATCCCTATGGGAGGGAGTCGGAGTTTCCACCAGCCGCAGGATGGGTCCGAGCTCGTGGCGTGAAGTCCCTTGGAGAAGGGCAACGTAGTACCCGTCAGCCGCAGGATGTGTCCGGGCTCGCGATTGTATCTTTGATATTTTGTTTATTTGCTTTTGTTCCTTCTTATTGCTCTTCGCTGTTATCTTCATCTTCTTCCTCCTCCCCATCTTCGTTTGGCCACCAGATTCACCTTCACCCGATCCCACCCTCTTGGCCGCCGGCCCCACTCTCTTCGATTCTCTTATTTTGTTTCCTAATTTAGGTTGGGATCAATTGGAAGTAATTTGAAATTCAAATTCATTCAAATTTGAATTCAAAATATTTCCTAAATGAGCTCATCGATTTTAGGAAAGTATTTGATTTAGATCTATTTTGAATTTTAAATTCAAGAGGATTTAATTAAATCTTTTCTAAACCTAAAACCATAAATCAGGAATCCTGATTTGCTCTCATTAAATCCCCTCCACCTCATCAAGCCATTGCCCCCCTTTCCTTGCCTTTCCCGTTAAGGCCTCAATCACACGTCTCCCTTTTAATGCTTGCAGTCCCATTAATTCCCCAAAATAAGGGATTTCCAAACTTCAAATATTTCTTCTCTTCCCATACCAAATCTGAAATTTAAACACCATATTTTCCTCCAGCTCGCCGTTCTTTCTTTCAAGACAGCTGCCCACCGAATCCCTGTTTTCCATCCAGAGGTTTTCCTGAGAGTCCAGCCCGACTACCTTGCCAAATTGCTGATTCAGAAAGGCCAGATTGCTGTATACAAATTCCTGCTGGCTTCCCTGCACCGCAACTCCTATCCAGAAGGCTCTAACCACTGCCCAGCATTCCCTAGTCAACCCAGGTGGCTGTCCAGACTTTGGCTTGGACAGGACATTTAGTTCATGTCGCTATTCCCGGATCGAGGGGAGAGTACGTCAGATGGAAGAATTTCTTAGACGTATTGCCGTATCCCCAAGGGTTGGGCCCGGGTCAATGGAATCTTTATTGCTGATGAGGATGATGAAATATAGGCAAAACTGCTGTCCCTGCTGTCAAAGCTGCTGTTTAGACTTCTGAATTTGATCTTCAAGACCCATAGATTCAATCCTCCTACCTGTTCTACATCACTGTTTAATTTCAGCAAGATTGGCAAGGAATTATTTGGATGTATTGCAAAGATCGGTTGATTTCTACCGCAAGATTTGAGAGTGGGATTTTCAGTAAAGAATTCCAGCAAAAGGGAATAATAGAGAATTGAAAGAACAGAACGAATTGAGGTAAGTGATTTGGTTTTATTCAGTTTTTTTTTATTTTTTATTTTTTTTATTTGGTTTTATTCAGTTGTTATTAATAAAAATAATACAAACAGTAATAAAATTTCTAAAGAAGAATATCCTTAATTGTGTTGTATATGCAGAAATGAGGTTTTGAGATAATTTATCAAAGTAAAAGAGTACGCGGTGTAGAATTGGAAGTGACAGTTCATCAAAGAGGAAAGTGATGCAATTATAAATTTCAAAAGTAAATATTACAAAATCTAAATGCATACAATATCAGTTGACTCATTAAAAAGGTTAATTGTGTTAAGATAATTCCAATTATGAAATATGAACATATATCTTAATATTCATGAACATTCAGCAACTATATATCCATGTGAAGAATTACAAGTAGAAAAAAGATAAACCATGTTTATTTGAAGCCTTGCTCTCAGTTGGTAACATTTTGAAAAGAAATACAATTCTATACATATTGCATATAGAGTCTCTTTATGCAAATAGTATAATAGATATGTTGTTATGAATGTGATTAACCAGATGAATAAGTATGAGTTACAAATATGTAAAGTCTACTGAATATCAAATTAGTAAATAATATTTATAACATGTTATATTACCGGTAACTTCATGTGGGGTAAAAGGGACCTCATTCTAGATTCTTTTCTTTTATGCACATATAATTGTGATGATTGATTGGTTGTTATGTTTAGAGGTGTAACTAAGCAGATTTGAACTCGAATTGACAATGAGTTGTTGTCTCAAAAAAAATGGCACGAATGCACGAATCCCGCTTTGCAGTCGTAGGATTCTACTTCCCTTAAGTCAGATTGAAATTGACCAGATTTCCCCTGAGGGTAGTGTCAGGGTTTATAGATCTGAGGTTCTTACTTCCTATGAGCGCAAGCGCCCATAGTTAATTACCCATCTTACTACGTAAGAGAGAACTCTCGATTAAGGATGAATAAATTTTAGATATTTTTTAGTCTCAATTGTGGGAAGGTGGAGGTAAACCCGATCAAGATCCCATGGTTCCGTCGTCCCGGGTATACCGTAGATTTCAGTCTACCAACACTAATAATCATTGACCGTAGTGTCCAGGGAATCTGATTAGCAACCAAGAGTTGCCTCCTCTCAGGGATCCTGAGTAGACTGAAGTTGTTAGATGTTGATTTAGTTTAAATTTAATTTTTTTTTTATTATTTGGGGTTTGGGGTTTACATCTATTGGAATACCCAGGAAGTTGGTTTGGACTGGGTCTTATGGCTTCTTCTGGAAGTAGCCCAGGGATTTAGATTTGGATTGGGACTTATGACTTTCGTAGAAAGTAGCCCGAGGATTTAATTTAGAATTGGGGCTTATTACTCTATTTATGAGTTGCCCAAGGATGGGTCTTACAACCTAACTCTATAGTGAGGCTGCCCGGAGGTTTTAAATTATTTGGGTAGGACTAATGGCTTCCCTAAGGAAGTAGCCTGAAAAGTGGGTCTTACAACTTAATCATTTTTAGACTAAGATGCACATAGCTTTGAATTTTAGTTTGATTTAATTTAGGTCGGGGCTTATGACTTTCTTAAAAGTTGCCCTTTTATTTATTTAGTTTGGCGCTTACGGCTCTATTTAGGAGTTGCCCGTTAGTTTATTTGATTTAGGTAGGGGCTTATGGCTTCATTAGAAGTTGCCCAGGAGTTTGAATTTAGATTGGGATTTACGACTTTTGTAGAAAGTAACCCATGGATTTAGACTTAGTTTGGGACTTACAACTTTCGTAGAAAGTAGTCCGGAGATTTGAATTTGGAATTGGGGCTTATTACTCTATTTATGAGTGGCCCAATGATGGGTCTTACAACCTAACTCTATAGTGAGGCTGCCCAGAGGTTTTAATTATTTGAGTAGGACTTATGGCTTCCCTTAGGAAGTAGCCTGAAAAGCGGGTCTTACAACTTAATCATTTAGACTAAGATGCCCATAGGTTTAAATTTGATTGTTTGAGGTTTATGTTCATTATAAATTTATTTAGTAATTTTCCTAAAATGTTGGGGCTCACGACTTCAATTAGAAGTTGCCCGATATTTTGTTTAGTTTGGGGCTTACGGCTCCAATTAGGAGTTGCCCGGATAGTTTGTTTAGTTTGGGGCTTACGGCTCCAATTAGGAGTTAGCCCAAAAAATTTCAGTTGGATAGGTCTTATGGCTTCCTTAGAAGTTGCCTAACGGTGGGGTCTTACGACCTAGCCCTGTAAGCTAAGCGGCCCGAGTTGAGGGTCTTACAATCTAATCCTTTTAGACTAGGATGCCAGTGTGAGGAGTCTAGGTTTGTGTTATCACCTAAATGTTTCCCTCAAAGGTCGGACTTACTGCTTCTATTAGAAGTGGCCGGAGGTTTTAATTGGGGTTTAGAAGTTAGGTCAATTTTACCTAAAACTTTCCCCTAAGATCGGGCTTACTGCTTTCCTACAAAAGTTGCCGGGTAGTGGGTCTTACAACCTAATTCTCATAAATCAGGCTGCCCAAGGTTTTGATTTTGATTGTTCGCTCGTTGAGTTTGATATCAGTGTTTTGAGAGGTTTGACACTTGCATTAGTATTTAGTTATTCTGTGCTTGTAGCTTGTTTCCACTACAGTAGTCCACTACCCTACCCGTCTTTTAGCACTGTTGCTTTACTAGTTTTTTTTTACATGGCATTTCTTGCTTTTCAGTACTCTATACTACCTGCAGTAGCTTAGATTTTATTAGCATTCATTCGATTTATTTATGATATACTGACTTTTCATTTGCTTGTTTGCAGGTGTAGAGTTCAAATTGGGAGATAGAGTCCACAAGTAGCCATAGAAGTTTGTACATGAGGGCTTTGGAGAGCAGTTTGTAGAGTTCAAATTGAGAGTTTTGGAGAGTTGAAAAAGCAACACTGTATATATTATTTAGTGGAAACTTTTCTTTCCCTTTTTTCTTTTATGCATTTTTTTATTATTGCTTAATTGATTGATAAATCAATTAAAAATTATTTAAATTATAAAGTTCTCTAATTTTTAAAACTCTCTATCAATATATATATATATATATATATATATTAAATGCTCTCAATTTTAAAAACTTTCAAAAATTCAATTAATTAAATTAACTTCGATTATTTAATTAATCAAAGATTTACATTTAATTGTTCTATAATTGTTCCAAAAGTTCAATAATTTTCTCGAAATTTCGACAGCCTCCCGGCATCTCCTCCCCACCGAGGGAGAAATCGGGACGGCACTGTCGTAATTCTTCCTACCCAGACCTAAGGTCGACGGCGTAAGGTCTTCGATTTCAAACCATCTCACCAGGATCTAAGATCGACAGCGTGAGATCTTCAAATTCTACACCACGTACTTATATGTATAAAGCAAATGCCACATTTCAAGGAAAAAAATGGCAGTTCAAGCCTTTATTGTCGCAAGCCGAGCTCGAGGACACCCTTTGGACTCAAGCTCAAGCTTGCAATTTTCTTGGCAAGCCGAGCTTGAGTTTAGGCAAGATTCAAGCTCAAATTGACTCGTTTACACCCCTAATTGTGTTATCGACGCTTAGTCTTGTGCAAAGTTAAAGATATATACCTATGCTAATGATAATGCCCAGAAGAGGCAAAAAAATTAAATCATTATCATCTAACAAATTTCCTTGCAGACACTATTTAAAAGCCCTAAATATGCATGGTCAATAGGATAGAAGCTAGCTTGGAATAACAAGTGTCGAGTAATCGGTGTGATGTTTTTATGCATATGCTTTCTAACATTTGTGTTGCAGAATCGGGCCGTCTTTTTTACTTTCATGTAATTTATATATTAAAAAGTCATATAAGCTTGTGAGACACAGCTATAAGAATGATGAACCAAAAGAATGAACCCCAAAGTGAAACTCTGGCTGCACCATAAGCCAAAGTTTGATGACTAACAAGCCGAGTTTGTAATTTCAACTGGGATGTATAAGATAGACAACTCAACTGCATTTTTTTTTCATGGTTGTAATAATAAAATATATGTACTATTAGTCCATGGTTTATTCATATAAATTTAATGCATTGTTTATTTTGAGTGCGCATCAAAAATACATGCTTTATTTTAGATTTTGTCTCTTGCTATGTGATAAGCTCCTAAGAAAAAATAAATTTTCTATTACTTAAAACATAAGCATTCTAAAATCAATTATAGAATAAAATTTTTCAAACAAAAAATTCATAACTTATCAAAAATAAGTCAACTATTTCAAACCTAAAAAAATTGGAGACTTCTTATAGAACAACAATTTACAACTTAATATTTAACTAAGCACTTATCTATAAGAGTGTGTTTTCAAATCAGCATCAAAACTAATATGTAAAGCTAATGAACATCATATCATAGCCCGATAAATCGCATGTAGAAATGAATGCCTCATATTATTTTAATATTATGATGAAAATACGCAAACAATTATTTAATCAAAAAATTTCTCAAGAGATATTCATAGGATGTAATTAACTCTAGGGGCTTAATCTTATAGAGAACATGTATCCCAGAATAAAATAAATCATATTCAATCAAGCATATTGGATAGAGAAAAATCTATGATTAAATAAAAAATATAAAAAAAAAATTTATTGAGTCCATAGTGAAATAATATTTTTATCATTTGAAATGATATATCATTTTTTATCGTACTCAATCATAAAATATTTCAATCCATTGAAGATAGCAAAAATCCCACCAACATGTTCAAAATAGTTTTACACCTTATCTAGTTTAACACTCTTAAAGCCAACCACAAATAGTCGGGATAAGGAAAATAACAATCATAATGATGTTAATGACATTCCTTATCTTATTGATTAGGCCATGGCCAAACCAGTTCGATCATATAAACGGCATCTAGTCCTGTGAATGGTTTAATCAACTCTAAGTTTTACAACAGCAGAAAAACAGTCCAAGCTTATTCCTTGAGCACCAAGCCAAAAATCAAAATGGTATTATCAAGAAGTTTGCAGTCCAACAACCATCAAATTTTGTGAAGAAGTTTACGGTCCAAAAATCATGAAATGTAGTATAGATAAGCTAAAGAATTGCTTCCTCTTTAATATTGTCTAACAAAAGCATATTTAAAAGACAATCCTAAATTAGCATCTATTTTCCACTACTTATCTATTACGCATATCATATCATTTTCTAGCTTTGTTCGAATATTTAAATTAACTTTGTTTTGCTGATAAAATATTTCATAGACTTTGTTACATCAAATCTTTCACCATGACCTTGAATGTTCCCTTCATCTTTAAAGTCTTTTCAAACCCCTATGCTAGCTATTCTAACTTCAAAGTGCTTTTTAATAAATATGTCATCGTATTGATTTTCAAAGGAGTTCATAATACGGGGCCAAAAGATAAACAAACAAATAAATATGGAACAAATACAATTCTATTGTAGGCAAAACATGCGTTGAATGCAGAATGTCATGAATCAGCTTTTAGTAAGTACATTGGTGTGAACTTACAATAATATTAGCATTCTGCTTGACTATTTTGATAGCACATTTTATGATGTTAGGCATCAACCTGAGAATGAAGAAGTGGTATGATAACATTTATAACGGAGATTTAAATTGTAAATTAAAGACTTTTTCTTATGAGAAAAAAAGTTACTTGTCACAATGCTTTCGATGGCGAGTGACCAAAGCACTAAATATGATTAGAATTCTCTTCACTATCTTCAAGCGCAACAAATGTCCATCTCCAGAAAGAGCACTGCCTAAGCTCAACGAATCCAGAATCCGAAACCAGTCATTACAAAAGGCGGGCAGAGCACATCTTAATGCAGACGGCATATATGACCTCACCTATAAAGCCAATTCATGATAAATTTTCAAAAAAATGAAACAAAGATCTTATTCGAAATTGTAAAAGCAGACCAAGAGGAAGTAGATGCAGTTTCACTGTGGCATCCCACGGAGGAATGTGAAAGTAAAAGACGAGTGAATCTTAACAACGTTATATGCTTGCAACTACATTACAAACCACTAATGACATACATGATGCATGAAGATAAATATTTCTGGAAATAATCTACAAGTACAAAATCAAATTGAAAATATAAAAGCAATTTACACCCAAGATTGATCAAAGATGCAATTAGAGTTCAGTTGTCTTTTTAGCACTCAAACAGTTATATTACCGAGACGGACATGTTCTAAACACAAAATTTTCTAGTTATACTTATCCTCCGCTCCGCAATCATTGAGCAAAGCAACAAATATTAAATGATCAACAACAGCTCTTAACTATATAAAAAGCACGGACACAACATAAGATCTGTTACACAATGAGATCTATAACGGCACATTCAACGTTGTCAATGACAACGTTCAATGCGTTCAATATTGTCCTTGACAAAGCTCGACACCTCTGATTTTAATTTTTACGTTAACACTGTTAATGTAGGCAGTAATAGAACTGAGCAACATAATTGAGGCAAAGCATTGAAAGCAAGCAAGTTCTCGAAAACTTATGTAACAGTTTAACATGGTATTGACAAATTTAATTGGAAAATTTAATGCCTAGAGATTTCTAAACTGATTGCATAATTTGGCTTAACCATGTACTTAATGGTAGATGGTACATTAAGGAATGATGATTAAGAATTTGAGAAACATTAAAGTGGGAGGTTCGACTTTCAACAGGTGAGCTGGGTAATTACAATTTTATTTTATAGAAATTACAGTTCAATTATTAATTCAATACATTTACGGATACAACATCTGATAAATATAACTGCAAAATTAATAACACTTTATTACATTAAAATGATGAATCAAATAACATGTGTTAGACATAAAAAGTGATAATAACATATTAAGATTCATATGTATGTGTTAATGGAAAGAATAAATCATGATATTAAAAGAATGTAATAAAATGAAAAGGCATTTGTATGCAAATGCATGAGTTCACGTCCATATAATAGTGGTTGAGGAAGCAAAATACCCGTGCATGAAAAATAAAAGGGTTGGAAATGAAAATGAAAACTATTGTACCTTAATCTAAAAAAACTTAGACGATGCTTATGAAATAAATGACTTTTTGAAAATTAAAAGTTGAAAATAGATGGAGATATTATTAGTAGATTTCAAGTTGGATGGTTGAAGTGGAGGAATGCATCGAGCTTTGTTGTGTGATAGAAAAGTACAACTCAAATTTAAGGAAAAATTCTATAAGATGGTGGTTAGAACTGCAATTTTATGGAGCAGAATGTTGGTCATTAAAAGAAAAGCATAATATTTAGTTAAGTATTGCTGAGATGAGGATGCTCAAGTGGATGAGTTGCTTTACTGTTTTACTCTTAGAGATAGGATACAAAACGAGCATATACGTGAAAAGGTTGGAGTAGCTCCAGTGGCAGATAAGATTAGAGAGAGTCGCCTTAGATTGTTTGGTAGCATAAAATGGCGGGCTTTCGATAACCAAGTTAAGAAAGTGGATGTATTAGATGGGACTTATGTTAAGAAAGGAGGTAGAGGTAGACCTAAAAAGACTTGGTTAGAAAATATTAGAAATGACCTTTCTTTATTATATATAAATGAGAATTCGACTCTTAACATGACATAATGGAGAAAAAGATTCATGTAGCCGACCCCGCGTAGTGGGATAAAAGCTCGATGTTATTGTTGTTGTACTATATTATAAAACTGTAATCAACCATAAGTTTGATGATAGAAACTTAACTCAATTAAATTAAATACGTCAGGTAAATCTCCAATTGAGTAAATAACTGACCGAGAAGGCTTCATGTATTGATGAAAAGGTTCAAATGAAAATAAGTATTAATTATGTTATATTTGTTCAAACTGGCAATTGATAATTAGTGTCTCTTTCTAATAATTTGGTGTGATTTATTTGATTGTTTAGTTATTGCTGAAAGAAATAAATTACTCCCACGCAATAAATTACTCCGACTACTATTCCAGACTTGGCATTGCAAGTACTCGGGTTGGGCCATGACAAAAAAAAAATTACTTTTTTGCAACCATAAATCTATCTGCACATTTGCACATGCTAAAAACATACTAATGCATGCAAACAGTTACACAAAATAAATAAATAAGTTAAGGATTATTCAAATACAATAAACAATAATGCTCAAAACTTTAGATGCATCTAAAAGTAGATATGGTGTATTATAATTGTATCCTTATTCTGGTGCAACTAAAGCCTTGAGTTGGGAAGAATATTCATGCATGACACCAATCAAGACAATAGGTACCCACTTCATAAAGACAATCAATATGGAGATAAGGGAAGGGAAGTGGGTTGAATGTAATATGTGGCGCAGGGTGATCATGGGCCATCGAGTAGTTCATGCTTTGTTTCTTTAATCATGTATTGAGAATAATTTTATCTTCTGTTCATTCTTAATTTTCAGGCCACTTTCTAAGTGCAAGTGACGTCTAGTTGCAAACAAATAATGATGATGAAGCTTGATAAAATAGTTAAGTTATAGGTTTGCAATCTCAAATTCAAGAGTCTGTCGTAAGAAAGCATAAATATAAGGCATAGAATACTTATAGTTTTGACAATGAATTGGCATTTAAAGCAACTATGTTTTTAGTAGAACTTACACTAAAGTATACGCACTTGCATATAGTAAGAAGAACTTCTTCAGTTTCCATTTCCAATCTTTCTGGACATGATAAAGCCTGTCATTAGTCCCCGAATAAGAATAAATGAGAAAACATCACTGAAAAATAAAGGTAAGGTAAGTATGATCACACGACCTTATCAACAAAGAAATGGAATGTTGCTTGTAAAGGAACGAGAATGACTTCTACTATTAACTCCAATTGTAATGGTACAGGTTCCTTTGGAACTTTGGGATTCAAGAAGTACTGTGAAAATGAGAAAGAAGTCAGCTTGGAAAAATCTAAACACAAACATTGCAGTAGCTTTACAGTGAACTCGAAAGGAAAAAAAAATAGCTTGAAATTATAAAGCAGAATACTAAGATAATCATATCCAGGACATACCATATAATGCTCAAATATTGATATTCAAATAGGTAGGACCATATGGAATTAAGAATAAAATGAACAACTGACAATGGAAGAGGAAGACTCATATTTGATGTGATGAAATTTTATATTTTTAGGAATCTCCAGTTTACTATAACTCGCTTTATTTAAAGTTTTGTGAGCGAACTGTTGTGCCGGAGGTAACATAGCTGAACGTGGATATGTTAACAGAGATCAATGGAGAACAACAATGCAACAAATTTAATCGCATCATCCCCACCCAAACAAACAATTGCTGCTATGCTTAATGCAAAAAATTTGCATGAATATAAAAGATATGCAAGTAAATAAACGTTGTTAAATTCAAATGGTTGCTCGAGTTTTATAAGTTGTATTCCTATATTTAATCAGATGAACAAGAATCAGAGTGATGTGAAACCATGGAGATGAAACAAGAATTGCAATTATGAAATTAATAAAAAAATAAATTTTGCTTGACTAAACATAAACGGATGAGTATTCAAGTTAGATATGAAGAAATTTCAAGGAAGGGCTAAGTAATGACAAGTTATTACGATAGAGATTAATAGGAACTTGCAAAATTACATCATTAAATAAATGAGTAGTGCAAATGGCACATAACAAAACCCACATTTTAAAATTTAGATCCTTCACATTGGGATCCCTCGCATGCACTCTCGATATTGATTGGCTTAGTGGAAGAAGATTACAAACAAACTTAAGGATGCCACTAGTAGACACGTGATGCCAATGGGGATAGTCGCCGGGGAAGGAGCCGGAGTTGAAGGAGCGGGTAGTCGTCCGGTGATTGTCCACTCTTCAAGAGATTTTTGTTCGTCGATGACTTCCACTAAATGGGGGACGATCCGATCCACGTATTTCTTGACGGTGCATTCGGCTCCCATTCCAAATCTAGGGTGAAAGAAGGTGAACGGATGATGTCAATCTCCCATTGAGAATTGAGAATAAGATCGTGATCAACTTCTGGATCGGCCATACATGATCATGGAAGGACTTGGAGTGTTGTAGTGGTGTTGGGGTGGGGAAGCCGTTGTTGACCTCGATTTTGGCCAAGTCTCTTGGACCAAGGGGTTGACTTGGTCAAATTGACCAAGCCAGGATTCAAGACCTCTCCCACTCAGTTCAATGGGTTGATCTAAGTCTGTTGAACCCAGGCTCAGGCCTTGGGTCAACCCGGGTTGACCCAATTGGCCTTAATGAGCCTAATTCAATTTCTAGTCCATTTCAAAGCCTCAAGGGCCCAACCCACCTCCTCTTTGGCCGAAGTGACTGGTTTGACCAGGTCAAATATTGACTCGGTCAAACCAAGTCATTAATAGATCAAATTATGACTTATTAAGGCCCTTTAACACCCCATCAATTGCATTTAAGACCTCTAATCATTTTGAATTCGAATCCACGGCCTATCCCTGAGATTTTCCCTCCTAATTCGCATGTGATTCGATCCCAACCGTCAATGTTAGGTTTAGAACCTTTAAATATCAAAAATTGAGTCCAATTAAGGACTTTTTTGCTCTTTCTACTTCTCCAAGACTCCTCAAGCTTTGAAATTTCGTGTGAAAGTCCTTGGAGTGTTTCCCGACCTTCCCCCACTCAAAACCGACAAGGTCAGGCCGCCGCCGGCGAGATCCCGGCGAACTCGAGGCCTTGGACGTTTAAGGCTTCGATCCGTCCAATCGGGAGCTCGTTCGATCGTGGTTTCAAGATGAGAATTCTTCGTGCAGATCCCATGAGTTCAACAAGCCCAAGAATGCGAAAATCCAACGGTTAGATCTCTCAAAAATCCTTAGAATAGGTCACAACACATAGGGTAAAATAGCTTTCTAAAAAGCTGCTTTTAAGCCAAACAAACACTCCCCATGAATGCTCTTCATGTATAGAGCCTACGTTTCAAATTTCATAGCGTTTCATTGAGTATTTTTGGAGAACGAGGCAAAAAACCATTCTAGGTTTTTGGTTCGTTCCTTTTGAACTGCACGAAATCGCAGCGGCTAAGATCTCACTGTTCTGTGTTTGGGCCAAACAGCAGATCAAACTCTCTGCCTAGGTGGATAAGTGGCTCATGATTGCGGCATGAATGCCGCAATCATTAGCGGCGACGCCAATGATTGGCACGAACCCCAGAGCCAATCCGAGGAGGCCACGTATCCCTGCCGTATTTAAAAATCTATTTTTGGTATTAAAACTTTATTAATTCATCAAAAAATCATTTTTGATCCGCTTTCGTGTATTCATTCATATTTTCGTCCTCTTTAATTTAAAATTATTTTCAATTAAAAATATTCTGTATATTTTAAATTATAAATTTCAGAAGCTTTACTGTTTTAAGTTAATTTTCTTTAATAATAATAATTTTTTTAATATTATTTACTTTAAAATTATTTTAAAATAGCTTTTAATCATTTAAGCTTCAAGAAATCATAACTATTTCATTTTAAATCGGATTTCAGCGTGCGATCCCTCGATCTTTTCAAAAAATTATAAACTTTATTTTAAAATTACTTGCATAGACTGATTCTGACTGTTTGGACAGACTTCTGCTTTATGTTATTATTTTTAAGTATTTTTAGTATTATTTATATTTATAATTATTTTAAAATTAAAGATTATTTTCAAAAATCTTTTTTTTTTTTGAAATCTCGTTAGAATGACCAGTAGATCTTCCCTATTAAAAAATAAAATAATAATATAATTAAAAAATGGTTTTTTTACTTTTTTAATAATAATTTAAAATATACAAAATATTTTTAACTGAAAATAATTTTAAATTAAAGTGGACGAAAATACGAATGATTCGATATATTATACACGAAAAACGGATCAAAAATAAATTTTTGATGAATTAATGAAATTTTAATACCAAAAATATATTTTTAAATATGGCAGGGACACGTGGCCTCCTCAGATTGGCTTCGCGGTTCGTACCAATCATTGGCGCCGCCGCCAATGATTGCGGCAATCATGCCGCAATCATGAGCCACTTATCCACGTAGGCAGAGAGTTGGATCTGTTGTTTAGCCCAAACACAGAACAGCGATATCACAGGCGTTGATCTAAAGATCAACAGCTGTGATTTCATGCAGTTCAAAAGGAACGAACCAAAACCCTAGAATGGTTTTTTGCCTCGTTCTCCAAAAATACTCAACGAAACGCCATGAAATTTGAAACTTAGGCTCTATACATAAAGAGCATTCATGCGGAAGTGTTTGTTTGACTTAAAAATAGCTTTTCAGAAAGCTATTTTATCCTATGTGTTGTGACTTATTCTAAGAGTTTTTGAGAGATCTAATCATTAGATTTTTGCGTTCTTGGGCTTGTTGAACTCGTGGGATCCGCACAAACAATTCTCCTCTTGAAACCACGATCGAACGAGCTCCCGATTGGACGGATTGAAGCCTTGAACGTCCTAGACCTCGAGTTCACCGGAACTCGCCGGCGGCGGCCTGACCTCGTCGGTTTTGAGTGGGGGAAGGTCAGAAACACTCCAAGGACTCTCACATGAAATTTCAGAGTTTGAGGAGGCTTGGAGAAGGAGAAAGAGCAAAAAAATCCTTAATTGGACTCAATTTTCGATATTTAAAGGCTCTAAACCTAACATTGACGGTTGGGATCGAATCACACGCCAATTAGAAGGGAAAATCTCAGGGATAGGCCGTGGATTCGAATTCAAATTGATTAGAGGCCATAAATGCAATTGATGGGGTGTTAAAGGGCCTTAATAAGTCATAATTTGACCTATTAATGACTTGGTTTGACCGAGTCAAAGTTTGACCTAGTCAAACCAGTCACTTAGGCCAAAGAGGAGGTGGGTTGGGCCCATGAGGCTTTGAAATGGACTAGAAATTGAATTAGGCCCATTAAGGCCAATTGGGTCAACCCGGGTTGACCTGGTCAACCAGGTTGACCCAAGGCCTGAGCCTGGGCTCAACAGACTCGGATCGACCCATTGAACTGAGTGGGAGGGGTCTTGAGTCCTGGCTTGGTCAATTTGACCAAGTCAACCCCTTGGTCCAAGAGACTTGGCCAAAATCGAGGTCAACAGCCGCCACTTGGGAGGAGTGGCCAAGAGGAAGAGGAGAGAGGTGGATGGGCTCGGATTGGAGGTGGAGAAGGGGGCGGTTGGATTAGGGGAGCAATTAGGACAATAACAAAAATCTGAAATTAAATTCATATTAAGTGAAATTGGAGGGGAGAATTTGAATTTGTTTTCAAATTCGAATTGAGAGAATTAAAGTGGAAGAGAGGAATTGAGGGAGAAGGGGGGCGATATGATGAGGTGATTAGGGAGTATTAATTGGGAGTTATTAATGAAATTGGAGAGAGAAGGAGCAAGGGAAGGGGCTAGCCATGTAAAGAGCTAGGAGAGAGGTTTGTTTTAATTATGTGGACCCCAAGAAATAATTAGGGAGTTAAGACAAAATCTGAATTGAATTTCAGATTTTTCTTAAGGAGAAGTTTCCCAATTTAAGTTCTAGCATTAGGAAAGCATTTGAATCTCAAATTTTAATTGAAATCCAATTAGGTAACTTTCCTAATTACTTGGAGTTATTTTAGAAAAGTGATCAATGACCCCAAAGAATTTTGAAAATCAAAATTAGGAGCAAGGTGGTTGGCGAGCTGGGCTTGGGGGCGACAGGGAGTGGGGAGGGGGAGGTCGGCCACCGGTTTGCAGTAGTGGCCGGCGGTGTGGGGTGGTGGGAGGCGGCGGGAAGGGGATCAAGAGGAAGGGAAAACCATCGGGTGGGGGAGGGAGAGGGGTTAAGGGTTGCCGGCAGTATGGAGAGGAAAGGTGGGAGGATGAGAATCCAAGATGAAAACAAAAGTAAAAAAACCAAGAGCTCGCTTGTAGATGAACTGTTGGGTATTTCCTTGGCCACTCCTAGGCTTCTCGTCTCTCATGAACTCACAAATATATCACTAAAAACAAAGCAAACTTCATTCATCAAAATCATCATTAACCATTACAATGCAAGGACCCCCTATAAATAGGACCAAATGAAAGAAAACCAGAAAGACATGAATGCCCTCGGGGCTACAATAGCGACTCACTACTCACAAGGGTAAACTAGGAAAAATAGAAAAAGAAAATACAAAATATATTAAAAGTACAGACTCTGGATCGTAGCCGTCGATCTACGACTCTGACTGCAGTATACAGGTCGAAATCTCGGACAGATGTCCTCATCACAGAGATATAGAATAAAAGATATTGCTAGTACCATTGTAATAAGTATGTCCAACATAGATTTGACTATTGGAATAAACATTATTAAAATGGAACATATCGGTTATATTCTAACATCCTATTTGATACTCATCAACATAAGATGATACACATCAGCCCACATTAGTACTTTGAAGGGATGTACTATAAAATGCAACCTAATACATCTAGAAGAGACAGAGGTAAAGACAAAGGTCAATAAATCAGAAGCAAAGGAAGAACTAGAGAGGTGCATCTGCATTGTCTATGTTCAGTTCTCCTTTTTCTTGGGTTGGGCACTTGCATAGCTTCAGGAGACAAGGGCAACTAGACTATATCTCAAGCAGCTACAATTCTTTTTCCACAGATCGGGTGTTGATCTGATGTGTCATATGTATGCAATCATTTATTTGTCATTATTATTAAAATAAGACATCATTTAAATAAATTTAATAATATTTAAATCATCACAATTGAACCATCAGTTGGATCCTGGTTGCATCTTAAACCTTTTCTTCCACCATTTCAATACCAGGACCCATTCAAAAAGCCTTCATATTACAATTGTCATGTTGCTTAACTGCTCTTGATAAAATGATTGTGTTAAGCCATTCTTTCCAACCTATCCATCTCCAGGTTCCCATAATTGAAGGGCGGAATGCTACCTAATAAATCATCAAGGAGCAGATAAATTGTTCTCTTGGGAAGAGCAATATTCCATTTGAGAACTCCTTGAAGTGGCCAGATTTGAGGAGCAAACAGAGTTAATAAAGACTTAATCTAGAGCACATCAATTTTATGCATGCTGTGGCCAGATGCAATTACATGGTAAAGTGTATCAAGCAGTTCTAGCCTATAGAGTCACACAATGAACCTGCCCCATTAGCAATGTTGAATTGTTATTAAGCTTTCAGACCACCTAGCTGAGGGAAATATAAAGAACTAAGACAGAGGTTTACAATTTGATAAAATTAGCCTTACAGATGTGCTAAATAAGGTATCTGAGGCATCTTTGATAATCATCATGAACTTATCTTACCAACTCTAGCCCTCATATAATTCTGCCTTGAGTCAGTTTCAGCTATATTTGGTGTGAAAAGTGTGAAAGAACATTTTAGCAAAATATTTTTTATCCAAAAAGTGGGATGATGTTCACTTAACCTAAATAGTAAGTAAAGTAGCACTTTAAATTAATCCAATATATAAACCCAACACATCCTCTGTGCATTAACATTCAAAGTATCTGAGAATTTAGAGCATTTTGTTCATCAATATATTACCTGGAAAGGTCTAATGGTTGTTTGCAAGACAATAAGAGCATTAATTGTGCTCCATTGAGAACACGGAGACTGACTGATAAGTTTGCTGCTTTGAATAACTGATTTAAGTTCAGGAATAAGGTCAGGCCAGCTGTTCTCCTTCACAAAATCACTGGTAATGATCACACGAAACTGCATTAAAATATGAGAGAATAAAATTAAAAGATGTTGGTAGCTCAAAGAAGTACACTCAAATAAGCAGGTAACTAAAGGATCAAAATAACAATATATGGAAACAGGAAGAAACCATATCTTAAATGAAAGAAATATAAGGACCCACCCTCAAGGGAAACGAAATTAAAAAAGGAAAGTTGCATGATTGTTAAATTGAAGCATTGAAGAATAATTGAACTAAAATAGTGACTCGAGTATCCAAAATAGTGACTCGAGTATCCAAAATAGTGACTCGAGTATCCAAGATAGAACTTCTCTTTAGTCCCCGAATCCAAGGCCCTCTCCTTCCAAATGTTGTAACTTACGTGTCTAACTGTCTACATAAGGGGAAATTATTAGGTCCGGTCACCTGATACAGAGATACATCCGAATTTCTCTCTGTCTACAGTAAAAACGCAATCAAGGCACAATCAAAGCGCAGCTACTGTAGCAGTTGCGCTTTTACTGTAGACAAAGAGAAATCCGGATGTATCTCTCTGTCAGATGACCGGACCTAATAATTTGCCCTACATAAGGGTTTAAACTTGAATGTTTAAAAGTATCAAGTAGTCCTCTCTATTTATAAATATAAAACAATCATTTAAATAATATCAAATGTACTAAATATTGAAAAAAATGTAAAATTAATCCTTGAAATCCAATCCTTACCAAGCAAACCAGTGAACATGATAAAGGACATTTTTTTAAACTTACCAAGTTTTATCAACAAAAAATGAAAAGGGAAATATATATATATATATATATATATATATATATATATTAAAACACATATGGATGCCCCTTGTATGCATTGACCAAGCCTAAACCATAAACCCTATTATATTGCATTCCTCCTACCCTTGCGACCAAATACGGTAGTCAGAATATTTTGTTGATCCATTAAAAATCCTCACATGTTACAGCCTCGCCCTCTCAAAATCGTGTATACTCCTCATATGAAAGTTAATAAAAATTTAAGCAATTTTGATATGACATAAAAAATATTAAACTTATATACTTACATAGGTTTTCATTGTTTGCTCATCATTGATGGTCCTCATGTCGCATGTGAGTATGACTATGCAATTCAATAATGGTCGATTTTTTACCCAACACCTTATTCTATTATAGACTTACATTATTATTCATATTAAAGTAAATTATTAAAATCTTTTAAAATTCCTTACCAAACATCCCCATGTGTTAAGTGTGTAGAACTCAACCATCAGTATAAAGAGAACTACCCATGCCCCCAACATCATAAGCTTTATTATGTATATCCTTGCCCCTCATCCTAATATATTCTAGGCTACCCCAAGCATTGTTCAAATCAGCCCATACACTATCATCAATCCAGAGTGGTTACTCGTCTGACTTTTTAATATTTGTTAACATATCTCGCATGCGGGTTGACGCATGCTTCTCAATTTTTTAAAAAAAATTTTAGCATTGTGTTGAGGCAGCCTATAAATTTTTGTTTTGCATTTAAAAATATATAATATAAAACATACATTTTTATTAGCTTAAGTAGAACATATTTAATACAAAATATATTTATATAATAAATTATCTTAAACTCTTTAAATAATATGTCCTGCACTTATTTTGAAACTTTCTTCTGATAAATATAAGGAGCATCATATATGCTCCGTATTTTATGTGTTGGTTATTTTGACAGGTAAAACCTATAAAAAATATGTTAGGTGAGAAAAATATTTATTTAATTTTAGTTATATGTTAACAATATAATAAGTACATAAGTGTCGCTATCAAGTTCAATCAAAATATAACCATCTATCGCCTGCTCTTCTCTAGTTGGGGTGGATGGACCATCTATAACAGACTGAGGGGGTGGGGGAATAGTATGGTGGGACATATTGTGTATATGAATAAGTAGGAGGGCAGTCATGAAAAGGTGGAGGTGGGTAATAAGGGTATAAGAAAGTACTATGCGTGACGTCTAGCAAAGGAAAATAAGGATTTCACACATTTTGAGGTGCATTACTCCTACATGATTATGACGTTGTTTCAAATTAATATAAGCAAAATTAGGTTATCCCGTACATTAATTATGCCTCACAAATTGAGCCTTTAAGATGCACTTTATTCTTAATATTCTTCTTAAGTTTATATAAATACCTCTAAAAAAAGTTACATCCACCGATACTAAACATGTCCACCTATTGTAGCCTCATATGGTAAATGCATAGCTAGATGCTCAATATAGTAAAAAAAATTGGAGGTAATATTTCTCAAGTTTACACATAATGAAAGGAATATGATGCTCTATAAAAATCAAGTGCTCTGCTTTTAGTTTTGAAGAGCACAAATATTTGAAGAAGACACTTAAACCGATCAAGTGATTTAAAATTTGATATGACAAAAAAATTAAAGGCAGTTAGTAGTGAGTATTACATGAAGATATGACAATCGTGACTTTTTAATTCAAATAATCTCCCCAATCTTATGTCAACACATCTATGTAAATTGAAAGAATATCTATTAGGTACCCATAGAAACTTCACCCATTCACAAATTACTCGTCTATGCTCTAAAGTCAAGGTGTAAGGAGCCTTTAATTTAAGAAAGTTTCTATTTCTACCATCATTCAATTATAATACTTTTTCTCACACAAAACTCCTCTAAATTCATCATTACTTTTATATTATATTTAGATTTGTCTTTGATGTTCATGATTATATTGAAAATATTATCAAAAATATTTTTCTCTATATACATCACATCCAAATTATATATAATCAAGTTTGTCCTACAATATGATAATGACCAAAAAATAATTTTATTGATCCAATTGTGATTGACAACATACCCTATTTGGAGAATCCTCTATTGTGGGCATGAACCTTACTCTTTTAAATATTTATTCGCTAGTTAATCTATAAGAAAGTTATGACATCATCATTTTATTTTTAGTAAAGTCATCTTTATTTTGCTTGAAAGGATGACTTGTATATAAAAACATACGGTGATAATCAAATCAAGTGTTCTTACCAGCATACTTTAAACTGAGTGACTTTTTATGTTCCATATAATATGGACAAACTAACTAGTCAAAAGTATTCTAACATGAGAGCATACCGTACGGAAGAAAGTCACTAATTGTCCAAAGTAATATTACCATCATTCTGAAGTTTTGTTTGATATATATATATTACATGTACTTACTCTCTCTTTTCATAATAAATTTAAATTATCAATTAATAATAGTAAGAATACATTAATATTTACTTTTGAATCATATGATCATGAAATAATAAGCGTTGGAAACATATATATATATATATATATATAATGAGTAGTTATATATAACTCTGAGGGAATATTATAAAGGATGGGTATTATTGACCAACATAAGTAAGGTGAAACATACTGGCTAAATAGAGTAATACCATCTGAGCATAAACTTAATATTTCATTTTTTAATTCTATGGCGAAGGTGTGATATGTACGATCAAAGTGTTTACAAACATTTGCTTCTGGTGGATGTGTAATAACATCTTCTTATAAAATGTGTTTATTATGTCATCACATACGTGTAGTATATCTGATGGATGCATATAACTATTACACTATGAATTATAAATAAGTAAAACATCATATTAATAAGTATTTCCTTCAGCTTTCTTTTCGTCCCAAAATTTTGTTTAAATCTTAGTGCATTACAATGACAGCATACAATCTTTAATAAATTATCTTTAAAGTATATCATGCATCAATTAACACAATAATCTATTTTTATGTATGTCAAATCAAGTTTGAAAACTAACTTCTTAGTTTGATATAAATTTGTAGAAATTATGTTATATTTCAGGTTGCTTTCATTAAGCATATCAATGAATTGACCAATGAATTATATTATGCCTTGATACTTAACATATTTACAATAACGGATAATACTGAGTGAGTGGTGCATCCCTTTCATATTAGTTGTTGGGAAGCATGCAACATGTGAGAGCTCGTTTCTTTGATTTCCTTCCAGGATCGTCCGGGACGATTTTGGATCGTCCTGGGACGATCAGTGCATGGCAAAAGTCAGTGAGCAAGGGTTTTTATCGTATGAGAAAAATTAATTATCGTCCTGAGATATCGTCCTGGACGATTGGATTTTATTCATATCGTCCTGGACGATAGGACGATCGGCCGGGCCGATACGTGTTGTATTAAAAGAAAATCAGCTCGATTTGATGAGAGAGAAAAATTAGTTTTTATAAAAAAAAAAAATATCCCGATGAGAGAGGAAGAGAAGGAATCAAAAGAAAAAGCTGGATTTCGGGGCTCGCGGAGCGATTTTTGTCAGTCGTCGCTGTTCGAAGATTTGTTTGTCTCGCTGTAAGGACTCTGAATCCTATTTCTGTTTTCGAAGATGTTGAGTTTTGATCGTTTTGTGCACAGATTTGTGTTTTTGTTACCGAAAAGTGCGCCACATTTTGTATTGACGAAACTTTCACCGCACAACTTTTGATATGTTATTGATAAAATTTTTCTACACTTTTTGAGTATTTTCTGTAACGATTCTACCATTTATTTTGGGTTATGTACGATTTTAATCGAATAGATAAATATCAGGATGTTGATTGATGTTGCTTCAGTAGAATAAAAGTCTTATATTGTTGGTGTACACGTTCTGTACTAATTTGGTAAATCCTGATTTTAGGAATTTTTGTATAAATTCCGTATACTGCCGTTATGCCGCTGATTTTTCATACGATTTCCGATTTTCTGAAATTGATGATTTGAATGCATACGAATGTGACTATCTGATTATTATTACTGAAAGACAAGTGAAGATTGGTTGAACCGTTGGTTGGAGATCGACTTGACCTGTACAGGATGGTGGGCCGACGGGCTTTCCTTTAAAAAGGGTTTGGTGTTATCCTCTATTAATCATTGATATAAAGATTGAGAGTCATAAGGAGATTACTATGCCGACGGGCACAGAGTGACGACTCTTATTGAACCAACGGATAGATATCTATAACAGCGCTATGGATTTCTACAACAGCATTATGGATTATCGACTTGAAAAATGCCTTAATAGCCAGCGATGTACTTGTTCAGTAAGACTATTGTATGGAATTGCATATGAGCGGTTTTGGCCTGTTGATCTCGTTTGGATTTATAGAGTTATGGATATCGATAGATTTCATCGACGGATTTATTGTAGTGAATTGATTTATTGCTATCGATTATGGATTTGCTGACGGAGTGCCGGGTTTACTGTTATTGTACGATTTCATTGATATTCACATTATGTCACTGAGCTGATACTGATACTGTTATGGATTGATATGGAGACTATAGGGATGCATGGATATCAACACTGACATTGATTGATTATATTGATTCAGGGATACTATTGATAATACAATTGATCCACTGATACATTGATTCATAGTACCGACCATTGATTGATTGATTGGGTTGATTGCTTATTGATTTATTGATTTGATTGTTGTATATGATTTTATTGCATTGATTGATTTCAATTGTATTTGCCGATTATATTGATTTAATTTCAACTGCTCTTACGATGTATTGATTTGATCGTTTTATGGGATTCTATGCCGATTGATGATTTTATTGATTTCTATTATGTATTAATTTCCATATCTGCATCGACTCATTGATCATGTGCGACTGATTAATTTGACTTGATTTGATTGACATGCATATTGCTTCTATCGTGCTTTGATTTCAGTTGTAGGATTTGGTGACCTGTTGGACTATTTAAGCTCATTATATGTGGTTAATGATTTCAGGTGCAGAGCCTCCCGCATGAAGCTTCTTCGGTCACTAGTGTAGTTTTGTTTTTTGTAGCCTTTGGCAGGCATTTGTTTTGTAGACGAATGGCTATTGTATATATTCTTTTGGACGCTCCTTTTGACTGTATATATGTTAAAATGTGAATTATAGTAGTTGTTGTATTTCTTTTCTTTAATGAAATTATCTCTGGATGTCTATATTGATCCGAACGAGAAAGAGACGAAAAAAAAAAATAAAAAAAAAATACGAAAAAGAAGAATATCAGATGAATCCTTTCACTATTGATATCTGGGATGTTACACAACAAATCATAAAAAATTTATACCTCCTTATTAGAAGACTCTTATGTATACTGTTTAAATTGTTCCCCAATTGCATCATGAATAAAATCCTCAAGATTAGATTGGATATTTTATTCCTCAACTATATTAGAACTTGTAGATGGGCAATATCGAGAATTGAAATGCAGCTCATACTCACTACGAGAAGTTCAACACTAATATTTTTGCATGAACCCTCTACAATATATATCAATAGTTGTATCATATAGGTTTATGTGCACTTGATTTTTATGTTTAGAATACATGCATCAAAAATTTTTATCCGAGATAATGTTGGGCAGTTGAGAAGCTTTCTGAATGAAAAAATTCACCGCTTTAATGAATTTATCTATTAATGTCTTTCGTCATTGCGTCAATCAATTATATATCAAACTTATTTGATTTTAGATATGCATAATATAACCCACATATAATATAAATATATTAGATATTGTTGTAACATCTATTGAAAGAAAATAGATGGATTTTAATTGTATTTGTAAACAAATAGTGTTATTTCACAGAGGTCTATTGTCAATAAAGAATCTGGCAATCTCCAGGCGTCTCCCTTGTTTAGGAGGAATACAAATAGTCTTAACTTGGCCGCCACATCAAGAAGACCATGGTCTTCAATCCTACCAAATTAAGAAATACGTGTATATATCTTCAAGGGGATACCTATGTGAAAATGTAGTTTGCACTGGAGATATTTTCGGTGGATTTGTAGATTTTCTTAATGTGTCAAAACATCATTTACAAGACAATACCATCTAAGAAGAATGTCTCGCTCTCTCTAATATTATCTTCCGTAAGAGCTTCTCCCACATTTTCACGTATATGATTATTTTGTATCTTATCTCTAAGAGTAAAACTAGCCACTCATAAGTATTCTAATATCTGCAAACCATATAATGCAAATCTCTCATTCTCTACAATATTATATTCCATAAGAGCTTCTCCAACATTTTCACGTATATGCTTATTTTACATCTTATCTCTTAGAGTAAATTATGTAAGAGCATTGAGCATTCTAATCTTTTAACTAATAGTATACACATCTCTCAATATCGCTCTCTGTAATCTCATTACATAAGAGCATTCTAATCTTAACTAAAAATGTACTCATCAACTCCCTAGCTCTCTAAACTCATCAACAAGAAGAATGTCATCAACAAATATATACACCATGCTACAATCTCTTGCAAATATCTACTAAAATCATCCATGATAAAAGGGGGAAAAAAAAAGCTTATGGCGTATTTCTAGCAAATAAGACGATGAACGTCAACAATGAAGGCAACAAACTTTGATAAGGATGGCAACGAACATGGGCAAGGTTAGCGGCGAACGTTAGCAACAAACCAGTCTTGATGGCGGCAACGTTCAATGTAGGTGTCTGATACGAGCATAGTGAACCAAAATGAGGAAGAAATAAAATAAGAAGAAAGACGACATAGAGGGGGAAATAGGGCTTTCTCTGTCGAATTTTATGGCAGAGTTTTTTACGGCAACAATACTGGCGGAAAATACGTTGGAAAAGTTTCGAAGGGTTTAAGTATACCGGCACAATTTTCACAGTAGTTGTTGATTTTCAACGAAAAATGAGCCGCAATATTATAAAAATCGGTGAATTATCCAGTGTAATGTATGTTGGTAAATTAGTGAAAGAAAATACACAGAAAATTCTGCCATAAAATACCGACAAAATATCCGCATGTTCTTTTGCCGCTTTTACTAGTGCATTTAATTCCACCGAAAAGTTTGACTGTAATAGAAGATTTTCCCGTAGTGTAATTTAAATTGTTGAACAAATGTGAGGTACAAAATCCAATAAATCATTACGGTGTCATATCGATAAAGTAATCATCATATTAATAATATTAATCCGTAAAGAAATGGAATAAAAAGGTAAAACCAAAGCATCAATAAAGACTATTGAAATCATATCAATGTAATAAATTCATATAACTATTTATACATACTATCCGATTATTCTATAGCAATATCAAATCAATATCTTAATCACATGCTTAATATGTCACACAAAACAAATAAAAAGTCATGGCTTAATCAGTGTTTTTCTAGTATTATATCAGTGTTAGTAACCGTTAGCTCGGTAAGTAGAGTCATCTCTCTTTGTCTATCCGTAAAATAATCATCTACTTATAACTTCTAAACAGTGTATCATGTGAATCAATCAAGGATAATACTAAAGCACATATTTAAAGGAAAGTCTGTCAACTCATCATTCTGTACATGTCACTGTTTCTATCAAACACCATTGAATAATGAGTCTTTATTTATTTTTTCTCACACGCATATTATTAACATAATACTATAATAGTAATATATAAACCATCTATTGCTCAACCACATATCCACACTCCTTAATTTTTAATGTATTTCAGTAATAAAACATAATAAGGCATAATTTATAAAATATTAAAATGACCTAACGATAGGCAACAAAATTTCTATTGAGCAAAAAAAATCATATTTTTAAAAATAAACTAAATTATTATAGATCGTATAAAATAACATTTTAAAGTTTTAATTGAACTATATAGTATTTTTAGATGTTAAAATAATTTTTTGAATATGTAATATTTACTATTTTTCAAAATTATAAAACAAAAAATTTTAAATAAATACATAAAACGTTTATAATTTCAATCTCTATAACATATAAAAGTAATACGATGAAATTTTTACCAATACAATAATCCTCATTTTTCGGTAATGAAAACAAAATTTGATAAAAAAAAATACTTAAAATATGAAACAATTGAAATAAAAAATAGGATAAAGGTACTTTCCTTACAGCGAGACGAGCATATCTCTCAATATGATTGACATATAAAAATTGCTCAACGACCTCCAAATATAACTTTTCTTTTTTTTCTCCTCACATTTTTTTTTATTTTTTCATTTCCATTTCTCGGTTCCACATGAAGTTGAATGAATAGGAATTTAAAAGAAAAATTGTACTATTAAGTTGCTTTTTTACGACTGTTTTAAAAATTTACTCTAAAACAATTAAAAAAAAATAAACACCCAAACGAATTCTTAAACTTCGAGCTTCATTTGGGACAACTTTATTACTGCTTTTAAAAATAGCTTTTTAATACAAAATTTTTAGTTTAAAAACATTTTGTCTTTAAAAAGTATTAAGAAAGCTTTCATAAATAAAATCTTAATTGGAGCTATTTGATGTACTTCATTTCTTTAATTAATGATATGGTGGGAGGAACCTAGACTTAGGGGTGAGATTTTAACTCATAAATCTCTTACAAATTGAATCTATTTTTTATTCCTATCATGCAAAATGAGTTGGGACATGAGCCAAAATTTTGTCTTGGTCAAATAATTGGATTTTCATTTTCCCAAAAAAAAAATAATTGGATTTTTTTTCTTTCAGGAACATATTCTGGCTAAATTTTCTTCAAAGAATATTTTAATTTTTTGAATTTTTTTATCACTTAATAAATATATATATATAGAGAGAGAGAGAGATAAGATGGAGAGAAACTAAAATCGAATTAAAACGCGGGAAAAGATAAAACCAAAAAACACCTGAAAAATAATCCGTTGCGCGCCAACGGCTACATCCTTTGCTTCCATCCGACTTAAACGGCCACCCTCAATTATAAAACATCTTTTCCCTCCGCCTTTCCAACCTGTCCTCTCCTCTCTTAGCCCCCCTAATTCAACAATATGCCGCCAGCCACCTCTTCCTCCCTCCACCTCCTCCTCCTCCTCCTCCTCTTCATCCTCTCCGTCCTCCACCCCTCCGCCTCCATCTGCCTCCCCCGCGGCTCCACCACCAGCCCTCCTCCTCCCCCTCCCGCCACTTCCAGTACCCCTCCTCCTTCTCATCTACCCGGCCGCCCCTCCCCTCCCACTGATCCTTCCCTTACTAATTACGCGTCCCACCTCATCGAATTCTTCTGCAACCACACCGACTTCTCAGACCTCTGTCTCAAATCCCTCAAAAATTCTTCCGCCGTCCTCAAATCACCCACCAACTCCACCGTTCTCGCCGCCCTCATGAAAGCGGTCGACGTCAAGACCCACGACGCCCGCTCCTTTGCACAAAACCTCTCCGCCGATCCCCATTTTGACGCCAAGACTCGCGAACTGCTGCACGATTGCATCGACGTCTACGACGATGCTCTCGACAATCTCGAAGCCGCCAAAGAGGCTATCAGGGTTGGAGATATCGGCACGCGAGACTCGATGTTGAGCGCCATGATCAGCAATTTCGGCACTTGCGAGGATGGGTTCGCAGAGTTCAGCATCAAATCCCCTTTGGAGGATTGGTCCGAGACATTGCAGAGCATGACTGACAATTGTCTTGCCATCATCAACATGAACAGGATTCATGATGATTACTGAAAATCAAGAATGAATATTTTTTATTTTATTATATATAATTTTTGTTGATTAAGCACTCTTCATACATACTGTTTTCTAGATCTAGATATTAATGTTCCGTTTATCTACTGAGGAGGGAGAGGAAATTAATGGACAGCAGCAAATTAACGTGGCTGTCATGTTTGTGTTGTTTTAGTTGTTCTTAATTATTAAATGTACCCTTAAACAAAATAACTATAAATGGTTTAATTTTGGAACAAATATATATTAATTAAAAGATATACAATGGTAGAAACGATTAAATTAATCAACCTGCAGCTTTCATTCTCATTCTCATTTGATCTGTTTATGTTTGTAAATTTCATGACAAGGAAAGGAAAATGAGCAAGTTAAGTACAGATATAGAGGTGACATATTCCAGTCCATAGCTTTAAGTTTTGTTAGTTGTTACTTTTGCACTCATGAGGTATATATTATATGATGGTGATTGAGCGATATATCATGATTGTTGTAAATGAATATTTCTAATTTTACGGTCACATAATCTAAATTTAAAAGATATATGCAAAGGATTTTAATTATAGGGTTTTGATAATGTGAGTGGTTCTATTTTATCATTATCATATGAATATGAAATGAAAAAAAAAAAAAAAAAAAACCATTCCAATAAGTTTTTTACTATTATTTATCACGCATCTAATATGACGAGACCCATTTGATATAAGAGTTGAGTTATGTTGGGTTATGATAATAATGATGTATGAAATAGAATTGATGCTTCTAAGATTTACAAATTTAAGTACTTAAATCCATCCAAAACTCAAAATTGGTAAGTCCCATACCTATGATAAATCAGGGAAGAAAAAAAAACTTGAGTCTGTAAGACTAAAAACTATTATTTTTGCTATTTTGAAAATGATTTAAGGTAAATTCTGCTTATCTTTTTGGGACATTTAGATCATTTAAGGCAAACTCACACATATAACACATATGCAAAGACTAGAATCCAAGACCTCTTAGTTGGAAGCCTAAGCTCTCAACCAGCAGACTAATTAAGGTGAGATGTATAATTCTGCTCATCTTCCTCAAGTACTATTGCAATCTGCAAATAACTCATATAATATTATCTTTTACTTTTTCATCTAGATTGGGAGAACCTTTTTGTTTCTTTTTATCCTCTCTCTCAAAAGGGAGAGATTTCTCTACCTTCTCCAAACTATTCTCTCTCATTTAATTCTCTCTTTTAAATAGAGAGAATCTTTCTCTCTCTATATATATTAATAATTTTGTTTTTTGAATTTATTTCTATAATGAAATGTTAGTATAATTTACTAATAATTAAAAATTCAACTTTTATGAATTTATGGCTACAAATATGTTTCAAAGATTCATACAATGAAAAGCATTTTTTATATATCTTTGCATTTGGGAGCATAAAAATATATTAAATCATACCATTACATGCACAAAGAATGCTCCAATTTCATATCCTTTTAAACTTTTTTCTAAAGACTCCATGTTCTTTTTTTTTATTATTATTATAAATTTTATTAGATGATGTTGTTGACCTACTACTTAATTAATGGTCTATTTTAATTATTAAAATTTATTAATTCATTTTTAATCCCTAAAGTCTACACGGGGTCCGGTATCATTTCTCTCTGGACCTGGACCGAAACCGTGTGTGCCAGATCGCCGATTTCAAAGTTATGATCGCCGATCAAAATCCTTTTGGTGCCATGGTTATCCGCGACGCTCAAACTCGCGCACACGTCCACGCCCAACTTCACACGAATAGTTTTTCCGGAAGCCACGTGGACCTTTTCAAACGCAACGAGCTGCCTCTGTGGGACCCATCTCTCACTACCAATTGGTGGCCTTGAATACACGAGGACGGAATGGACCCCGTCTAATTCTCCCAAGTTTGTGACGTCCACGTGGACGGGCATGATTAAGTCATCGCACTGGGTATGGTTGACCCGTACCGTCCGGGCGGACCCGGTGGAGTTCGCAGCGGCGGCCTGGCTGCCGACGTTAAGTCTGACGGCGAAGATGGCCGGAGCTTGGGCGATGGAATAAGAAAATTTGGAGTAGCTGAGGCCATGACCGAACGGGTAAACCACTGGTCCGTTGTAGAATCTGTAGGACCGACCGGGGTATCCTCGGGCTGGATCGGACCGCATTCCCATTTCAGTCATCGGGACTTGATCTGCAAACGCCTGGGGATACCATGTCATCGGCAATCTTCCACCTGGATTATAAGCTCCAAACAGGACGTCGGCGATGGCTTGGCCGCCCGATTGACCCGGATAGCCGGCCCAAACAATTGCGGACACCCGTGGGTCATCCCGAGCAAAGGAAATATCTAACGAGCCGCCGGAAATGAGAGCAAGGACGACCGGGCCGCGGGAAGAGGCGGCAGCTGCCTTCTGAACGAGCTCCGCTTGCCGGCCGGGGAGGAGTAGATTGTCGCGATCTATCGTCTCCGCCTCCAGCGACTGATCGAGCCCAACTAAGATGATGACGGCGTCTGCTTGGCTGGCGGCATTCACGGCCGAATCGATGGGCTGATTCGGGCCGAAACAGGATACATTGATGCAGCCCGATTGATGAACAGTTCTGACGTAGCGATTGATACCTTGTAACGGCGTTATGTAACCGCAAGGATTTCCTGGAGCGATTGTTAATGTTCGGTTAGTTATATTAAGGCCAGGGCTTTGGTAACTTTTTTTTTGTGTGTGTTAATTTGTAAAAAGATTGAAGTTTTTGTTTTTATAATTTTACCAGCATAGTTTCCGATCATGGTGGTGGTGACGTCGGAGTTAGGGCCGATGACGGCGACGGAGCGGAGAGTGGAGGGGCGGAGGGGAAGGGCGCGGCGGTGGTTTTTGAGGAGGACGATGCCTTGACGGGCGGCTTCGAGGGCAAGGGATTGGTGGGCCGGGCTGCAAACGTCTTTGGGTCCAAGATTACCATACGGCTGAGTAGCCGGATCACCGTTGAACATTCCGAGCCTCATTTGTACGGTCAATGTGTTCGCCAATGCGTTGTCCACGTCGGATATGCTGACCTTGCCTTGCTGGATCGCGCTGCCCGTGTACTGGGCTAGAAATGGGCCGCAGTCCAGGTCCAATCCTAGTACAAAAACAAATTTTTTTTTTTAATCAATTTAATGATAATTTTTTTTTTTATTTTCTCGAATTCACTGTTAGCTTTGAATTTTTTTTTTTAAATAAAGTGAACAAAAAATTTTATTATGAAAAGCTGCTCATCACTTAAAAAAAAAAAAAAAAAATTGGCCTATAAATATCTCAAAACCAACCAGACTTCAATGCTACGGCGACAGCGTCTTCCGGCGTAGCAGTGTAATGTTGATCGTTATAGAAGACGGCTATAGAATCACAATCCGTTACGATGTACCTAACACATATGAATTAAAAGATAATGTGATTTTTTTTAATATATATCTCGATGCAGATGTAATGAATATTTAAAATTGTATGTATGATGGGTGTTATAATAATTGACCCGTTTAGTCCCCATTGGGTCCGAACAGTGTTAAGAAGGAGATTTGGATTGGCACAGGTGGGGATCCCATTGACTTGATTGTAAGAGCACATGATGCTTGCAGCCTTGCCTTCCATCACACAAGCCTTGAAAGGCACTTCAAATGTGTCATCCAGATCCTGCTTGCTCACCTGAAATAATACAAATCAAATTAGCTAGACAACAAAATTTAATTTTTTTTAGAAGATCAAGTTTTATATGTACCTTGGCATTAAAGTGGAAGCGGTCGACGCCATGCCAGTTGTCGAGATCATAGGCAGTGTAGTGCTTGCAGCAAGCAGCGACTTTGAGGTGGAGATGGCCGCTGCGACCGCCGGTGGCTTGTTGGAGTCCGCGGACATAATGGGCTGCGTATTTTCCGGCTAGAATTGGGTCCTCTCCTGGAGTCTCTTGCCCTCGACCCCAACGAGGATCACGATATATGTTTACATTCGGGCTCCAAAATGTAAGGCCCGCCCGCCCGCCGTTATACATAGCCCGTCCCTCATCAGACACAACCTACATGTATATCATGTTGGTTAGGTTAGATCTTGACTAGCATGCACGAATATTCAAGCCTGAAATCTGCGTGTGCTTTTTAATAGAAAAAGGTGCTGATGAATATTAAAACTCTTTATATTGTTTGGAGTTAAGTATAATATATAAAAGAGTTGATTAATTACATTTAACATTGAATAAATAGTGTTTAAAATACATATAAAAAGTATTCTAATTTTTCTCTTTTTTATATTCAAACTTTTTTTTTTAACTGAGTGGGTGACGTCTAGTAAAACCATATGTTTGATAATGATATATATACTTAGCTTTAGCTCACATAAATATAATTTTTTAAATTTCAAATGACTTAAAATCACATGAAAAATTTTCAATAAACATAAGAAGGTATTTAAAATTATTTTAAATTTTTGTAGACATATTATATTTCTTTCATTATAAGACATTATTATGTGGAGAATAATTTAAAACAAACTTAATCAGTGATCAAATTACTATTAAATTATAATTTTGATCATATTAAAAACATAGTATCTTAAAATAATAATAATAATAATAATATAGCTCTCCATGCAGAAAAAAGGTAGGCGAGATTCCTCTATCCATGTGATCACTAGCTATCAGCAAGCATTTCATATGCTCTTATATATTAATTAATAATGGCATAATTCAAATCGCTTTCTCCCACCATATTCGATTGAGACTAAAGGGATAATTTTTTTTTTCTTCTATATAAAAGCATTTTTTATTTAAAAAATTAATAATTTTATACTAAAACATTGCTTTAAGAAGCAACAAAAAAATTAGTCCTAAACAAAAATTAATAAAATATCAAATGTAAAAAATATAGCGCTCCTGTTCATTTCTATGGCCAAACTGTTTGGCAAAAATCTAAAAAGCCGCTGAGCAGTACAGGCTGTCCACCAATTGAAGCTGATGGTTGGTGGCATTGCCATCCTACTATTTAATGAAAGTGAGTGGCATGACATGATGAAAAGCTTAAAAGCTTATGGTATTTTCAATATAATAATTTATATCATAGTCGGCAGATGCCACTCTTAGAAAGGAAATTTTATTTTTTATAATGCTAAATATTTTATTCATTCCTAATGACACTTCATTTTTAATTAATTAGAAATTCAATATATGATATCCTAAGAAATTTCCCAAAAATATAAAAAAAATCAATCCTTTATAATATTAGATAATTATAAATTATAAGTAGAGGTGTAAATTTGTTGAGTCAAGAGCTATTCGCTTTAATTTAATATGCGTTTGAATTTGATAAAATAAATAAGATTTAAGTTCAAATGAAATTAATTTGGTCGGTAATTTTGAGTAAAATGAGCAGGATGAAAAACAAAATCTAGAAAAGAATGAAAAATAAAAGATTGAAATAGTAAATGGATCAGAGGACTTATTTTTGTAAGTTTTTTATCCTATAAATTATGATTAAACTCTTAAATTATAATATTTTTTAGATATCATTATAGATTAATATATTTCGTCTGAGCGTACAATCTCACAAACCTACCAACTGAGCTACAAATTTGTCTCTTTCAACTTTTTGAGCTTGGTTGATCTAGAGACGAATTATGATGAGGAAAATAATATACTATATGAGCATCCACAGGCTGTAAACTTAATTAATTATGTTTGAGTTCAAAGAATGATGCTCAGATCTAGAGAGATTATTATGTGCAGACACCAGACGGAAGAACCGTCTAATTTACGCTCAGATATCGAGCGATACCGAGCATCACTCGGTATAAGCTCAATACCAGACGTAGCACATTTCATTGGGGTATGAATTCCATAAATTCTATGATTTCGAGTTGGCTCATAAGCGGATTAAATAGATAATTTTAATTCAAAAGTTATTGTTATAATAAAATGTAAGAAGAAGAATAAAAAAATAATTTTAAATTATGAAAATAAAAATATTTTAAAATGATAAATTGAATTGTTACACGAAAATAGAGTCACTCAGCAATGTCAGCCATATGCAGAAGTGGGACCCTCTGCCTACCAACTGATAAAGAAAAGAGGAGCTTTCTTTGGATTACGCCGCATGAGTATGACTCTAGCCCTATAAGATGCGTTACAAATATTTTTGGCCCTTTTATCCAATCCAATGGGAGCAAATATGGAACTTTTCAAATTAGGAAATTTACAAATAGTTTTGTTATTTAATTAATTGAACTGCCACAGATATTAATTTACAATTTAATTCTTTATATACATACAAAGAGCAATTTTACTACTCTTCAATTTATCCGCACAGAATTTTTATCAAAAAGATTTTAGCCTTTAAAAAAAATTAATAATTTGAGTGTCTAAACAAAATTTAATCGGAGAACTGTGACAACAGATTTAAAATTGGTAATATAGTTGGCAGCAAGCACGCGCACTAATAATTTAGTTTAGCATCTAATCAATAATTCAGTTTCTCAAACAGCTAATATGTACATTACGACTGTATATAAATGCATAAATTATCAAAAAAATATATCAAAAGCTTTTCGAAGCTGCGTTCAATCTATTACTAAGAATTAAGTATTGGTAATAGATAGAAGCAAAAAACCGGCCGTAGCTAATGATTTTTTTTTAATTTATAACTCAAAATACTTTAAAAATCAATCAAATTTAATTTCTAATAATCACATTCCTTCCATAAAAAAATAAAATAAAAACCAATCAAATGGAAGAAGAGGGAGGGAGAGAGGGAGAAATTTACTAGTACTAGTAATCTAGTAATCTAGTATAGTACTAGTATAAGCGAAGAGTTGGAGCATACCCTTCCGATTCGCTCCCAGAGCGAGGCATTGAAGGAGGCGGCAGCTAAGATGACCTGAGGGAAGCTCGTAGCGCCGGGGAAATCGCCGCCGAATTTTACTCCTGGTCCAGTATCGGATATGCCGTGGAGAGCCTCCGACCACCACTCGTACCCGCCGATCCCCAGCCGTGGAACCGGCGCCGCATTGTTAACCAGCAGCCGGATCTTCTCCTCCGTCTCCAGTCGCCCGATGAGATCTCGAACGCGGACCTTGATCGGGAGATCTCGATTGCAGAACCGCATCCCCGCTGCTTCCGGCCCCCCACAGGCGAACGCCGGTCGAGAAGATTCGACGGCGGCGATCAAAGTGACGAGGAGGAAGGCGACGAGGAGAAGGCGGCGGCGGCGTTGAGGTCGGGTATTTGCCATTTTGAGCATTTATTAACGTCTAAAATGGCTCCAGTGGAAATGGCGGCCACCAAAGCAGTTATTTATAAGATATACTGGTGCAGATGAACGGTCGTGATTCATTCATCTTTCGCTGTAATCTAAAAATGGACTTGATATGAAGATTCCCTGTAATTCTCTCTGCTCTCAACTTTTCCGTTTGGATAATATAGTTTATATTTCAAATATTGTACAAGAAATGAGCAAAATTTGTGTTTACAGGGGAATGCGTGCTGAGGATGTTTACAGCATCAACTTCAACTTATAATAAATTCATTAAAATTTAGCTGCATGGATCTGTTCACGCAACAGAGCGTCAGATTACCAAGTAATTCTCCAAGTGTTTTGTTCTAGTCAAAGAAAATTAATAGGATTTTTGACCTTTGAGGGTTTAGGGGGGAGAAAAACACTTGTAATTAAATTAATGATGCTGATGGAATAGATGTAAAAAAAACCAGTAGGAGAATGTGAAACAAGTATGGATAATAGAATCTTTTCATGACTTTATGTGAACAATTCTTTCTAATTCTCCTTGAAAATGTTTATGATCAGAGAGATTTTCTAAATGCTTGTGTTTCCCCATCATATGTGCGAAGAAGGTTAAGGGATAAGTTTGTTTGTTTTAACACCCACGCAACAACACATTTATAAATGTTTGTTGAGCCATCACTATCCTCAGCCATGCAATAATACAAATTAAAGCTTCTATTCCTAATTAATTGCGTAACCATTTTCTTCATATCAATCAATATAAATGTTTTTGTGCTGCTGCAAATTACATATAATTCACAAGCAAATATACAGATTAATAATAATAATAATAGCTGGCAAACGACGCCATTTCATGGCATTATGGCAACCACTCTGCTTCAAAATGCACATTCTTTTGACTAAAAGACTTATTACAACTATACTATTATGCCTTCAGTGCAATGTAGATCAACTTGTTCATGTCATGATGGTTGGGCTCCACCTTTATTGATATGCAATCACAAAATTTATTTTATTAAACATAAATTTTAATGTAAATTTCATATCTCAAAATGCTCTAGTAGAAAGTTTTAGAAGAGATGTGCTAATATTATAAAAAGGTTTCAATCAAATATGTTATTACGCACAGGTTGGCATCCAGAATAAAAAGGTTTCAATCAAATATAAATTTTAGGAGAGAACTCATACAATATGATCAAGAACGACATCAACTAATGATGGGCATTGCCCGGGTTGTAGAGGATAAAAAGGGCCCTTCAATATGATACATCCATCATGTTTTAGTGGAATCGATGAGGGATACTAGCCAAGAAATAGCTCCATCGAGGAATTAGGAGAATGGGAACATACAAAAACTTGATAAAAGCATGTGCATTGATTATGAAATTCTTTAATTCAATCGCAAGCTTGCACGGATTATAAGTTTTTTTCTTCGATCATATGCTTCATGCTTCACCTCACTCGTTACAATAACAACAACATCAAGCCTTTGTCCCACTACATGGGGTCGGCATGCTTCACCTCACTAGTTGAAGGATATAAATTCAATGGCTTAGCATATTAAATCTAAATAAAATATGTTTTGTAGCTTTTTGAGTTAATGTAACTTCTTCGATTCTATCTTAGGATTGTGAAGTTGCAGCTTGAGAAGACATTTGATATGGGATGCTTAAGTTTGCCAACCTAGAAAGTTTGAGAAATTTATAATTACATTAGATTCAAATTTGTTCATGGGTGACACCCCACCCTACTAATGTCTTAGCAGGTTAGAGCTAGAGAACTGATTGAGAAGATGAATAAATATGGAGAGTAAGTATGAAGTTCTAATACCTTTTTTAAATAATCTGGATAGCATGAAGTCCGAAATATGCATCTTCATACCTTATTTATAGAGTTAAGAGGGTTACACATGGATTGAGCTATTTTGGATTGAGCTACACCTACAATAAAATGAAAAAAAAAACAAAAAAACTTGATTTGATAAGTATATATTCGCAAATACATGGACTAAGCTGAGTAACACACGTGTGGCCCTCTACCTCTGATAGGATTCTTAGACGGATACCTAAGGCTAGCCTTTGGGGCAAGTGCTTTGGGTGAATTTGCAATTATTAATCTCTAAAAATGAGAGGCGAGTCCTCATAGTGAATGGCCATTCATCTAGGTGGTGGAAGTAACTGTGAGTTAGGGACATATATGGCCAGTGAAATCATGGCTAAAGACTTAATAGGTTTGTACTTCTTATAATTTGACCGGGGACATTTATGAAAGGCGATTGGCCTTGCAAACAACTATTGTGGGAGAAAATTTCTCCTGCGGCGAGTGCCCCTCAACGCAAAGACCTGTCTAGGTAATTCCTTTAGGTGAACCCACAGATAATGAGTAGTAAGGTGGTGGCGGTCGTGAAGAGCAATGCAAGGGTCGTACTCTCCTCGAATTTTAACAATGTGCCACTCACTAAAAGACATGCGAGGTGAGCCTCTGGCCCTCTACATTATAGGAAGCTCTTCAGGCATTGGTTGTGGTGAGCGTTATTCTTGAGACGACAACTCCTACTTTGAAAGTAGCGTCAATTCACTATGGTGGAACTCACTAGCAACCATAACCCACACTGGAGGAGGTTGAGCATTTAAAGGCAACTAGTGGAGGTAAAAAGTATTCTTTTCTAATTTTTGAACGAGTTATGTTTTGGGGTCGAGTGTCGCCAACCTTAAACAATTAAGAGTTCGAGGTGCTTACATTAACTCAATGAGTACCTAGCTCAAACACAAGGACTGTTGATCTCTACAGTAGGCTGCTCAAGATCTCCCTTTGTTTATTGGATAAGGAGTTGCCTCCTCTCGTTCCTTCTCTCTATACCATAGGGGCTCCATTGGTGTAGAATACAACGGGCCAACACACACTGACCTCTACAAAAGCCCATCATGCGAAGATGGCAGTTGAGAGGTTGTAGAGGCTGAGCATATAGGGGAGCAGGTAAATCCATCCCCAGTACAGAAGCTCTCCATTGCCTTCCCCGCATGACTCTAACGGCTAGTGAGCCCTCCCCTCTGGCTAGTGGCTAGGATACTAAGATCCCTATTTTAACATCCTCCTCCTCGGATGCCCTCACCCAATGAGTCATGCCTTACAGGAGGAGCTTGATCTTGTTCAATCCGACTCCGAAAAAAAGGATTTAAGCATTGGAAAAGGCGAGATCAACAAGGGAAGGAACCACCACATTTAGAAAGCTGTCAGAGTTGAGACCTGAAGTGATGGCGATTCGCCGACTCATAAAATCATCACAGTGAAGTCAATTCTTGGCTAGCGATTGCTTCATCCTATAAAATCTAGTATAGAAAGGAGTAAAACTTGTTGAACTTTTGTTAAATCCATTATATAGGTTATTTCTGAGGAGTGAGTAGGCTCGCTCGTGTGTAATGCAATTCATAAAGATGATATGTATGTAAAAAGAAAGTTCAGTAATAAAATTTCTAAATGTAGCATACTATTTTTATTTATGATTGTAAATCACTTCTTTTCTTTGTTTTGTTTCTTATTTCATTTGTGGAAACTTTTTGCCTTTTTATTCCATTTTTTTAAAATCTTTTTAGCTTGTCACGTGAAAGCGACTATTGTAATTTCAATCGAGGATGAAATTGTGTTTTAGTTTGAAATATACTTTTTGATAATCAATTGAGGTTGGCTCCTAGTAAGGCGAGTCGAGTATGACTCTCAATTTGCTTATTATGCGCACTGTTTTATTCTTTGTATGAGGGCCGCTCTGGATAGGGCAAATGAGAGGAAAGAGAGTAGATCATGATGACAGAGATGGAAAAGATTTGGTGCGTTAATGGCAAATGAGCCTAGAGCATTGAAATTTAGGCCTATGATTTCTTGATAAGTACACCCTCACCCCTTAGATGAGATGCTTTCTCCTTTAGTGCTCTCTTTTCAATCTCCCCCTCCATAGCTAGCGCAAGTCTGTTTTCTCAAGATAATAGCTTTGGGGATGTGCCATAAGGCACTTATCGAGTTTGAATATTATCATACTTCGCGTGCGACTAAGATGTTCACATAATTTAGTTCGATTATTGCTATAATGATGCCAATATGGTGATCCTAATGCCTTCTAATGACGAGCATCTTAGCACAATTTATGAGGACAAGTTGTGCATTCCTTATGACCACTTCCTGCTCGATCAACATCTACTATTCTACCCAAAGTTAGCCAAGATCCTCAATTTCTTATGGATCATACTGGTGCAAATCATGTCGAATGCAACAGCTAACATAGTCACCTTTCTCACACATTTACGGTGAGAGGACATCAAGTAGAGATTGATCTTGTTCTGTCGCATCTTCACCGTAAAAGCTTTCGAGGCAACAATATCCATTCCTCTACTCTTTACTGGAGGAGTCGAATGGAGAATAACATCAAGGATGGGAAGACAAAGTTCATCTTAGTCAAGTTGCAAGTTGGCTGGTTGTGTTGACTGTTGACAGCCCCAATCACCTACACCAAGGACAAGGTGTTGGCCTCCGAGTTAAATGAAAAGGCTCGCGCCTTGAGCCTTTGATCGCTTGAGGGTTGTCTCAACTAGTCTGCAACTACATTGGATTGGGCAACATACATGACACTTTTTAAATTAAATTACCTATCACCTCGTGGAAATTTGGTTAAGTCTTTTTTTTTTTCTCTTAGAGGCTTCCTGTGGGCATGATTGCCAGCGAGATGCCTAATAATGTCTATCATGAGAATCTTGCTATATTAGAGTTCCTCGTCACTAACCTCTTCAACGGAAGAGGAGTGGGAGAAGAAGAGGTAGGCATGCGAGCTCTCCAAAGAAGTGCCCCAAGGCAATGAAGGCGCCTCTTGTTTGCCTCCTAATAAAGGTAGTTCAAATCCACTGCACACCTCATCCTCCTGCGAGCCATGCCCTAACAACATCCTAGAAGAGGCCTGGTAAGCCTATTGCTGGCTAGTAGCCTATTGAACCCCCAACCTTATGATGTGTACAAGTGAACGAGAAATTCTTTTAGAAATTAATCAATAACTTGAACTATAACTTTGCTAATTAAAACTCATGTTTCGCTAAGTCGGATTCTTAGAATTTTTCCGTTAGAAAATTAAGTAATAACAAGCGATTACAAAGG